TCCAGACCCCTCTTACACCCACGGTGATCCTTGAGCAAGCCAGCGGGACTGCCAACAACAGCCTGGACATCTTCACACCCACAATGGCCCTTGAGCAAGCCAGCGGGGGCCCTACGGACATCCAGGCCCCTCTTACACCCACAGTGGCCCCTGAGCAAGTATTTACTACTGTAAGTCCCAGCTGGCATCCTCTCTGACTCGTGGGGACAGAAAGGTTGGCATTCTGGGCCAGGAGCCTTTAAGGTCCTCTGTGCACACACACACACACACACACACACACACACACACACACACAACTTCAGCTCTGTTGTGAGATCTCGGGAAATTTCAGCTGGACGGGGGAGGGACAGCGGTAAAAGGGGTCAGGTTGTTGGGTTCTGTGCCAGTCCGCTACCACCTAACTTTGACTAGGAACTTTCCCAGAGATCAATGTCCCAAGGTGGGGAGGAAGGGTTTCAGGAGTCACTTCTGTGGCTGAGCAGGGCGGGAGGGTGCTGGTTGGTAAGGACTGCCATCACAGAAGCGACACCTCCCATACTGCAGCCCCATGACCCCTCTTCTGACGTACTTTGCAGGCGCCCACTGACGGCGAAGACTTGGTGGGCTCCACGGAGGAAGTAGAAGAGGAGGGGTCTGGAAGCACACTCCCCAGGGGGCCTCCACTCCCCACGCCCACAGTGATTCCTGAGAGGCACATCACTCTGGTAAGTGTCCTGGGGGTTTGGACTCAGCTGACAGATCTTTCAGTGTGGAGAAAAAGGCCACCCTGACCGTCTCAGGGTCAGTTCTCATCGTGGTTTGTAAAGACAGTATTTGGGGGTCCATGGCCTCATGAGCCCTAGGAGACTGCAGTTTGGGTAGGAAAAGGCAAAAAGTGAAGATAGAGGGACATTGCTTAGGTCTGCAATTGCCTTTGTCATTGCACAAAGGTTATCAGTGTGGTGGGGCATGAGCACCAAGTGTAGGCTCAGCAGGATCTATCGAGACATCGACATGAACAGTGTGTGGACCTGCCAGGGTCTCCCAGGTGAGGCCTGAGGCTGTGGGCTGCTGCTCCTGACCCTGAGCCAGCTTCTGATCTGCATAGGACAGTTGTGGAGTCGGTTCAGAAGATTTCAGAACAATCTCGGTGTGCACATGCGGTGGCCAGCTTAGGGACTGTCACTGACTCAGAGTCAGCCTGTGTGAGTCAGGGAGCGAACGGCACTTCAGGGGAAGATGGTTCTCGGGGAGAACCGCCTGCTGGTAACCCACCTCCTTGTGTCAGTTCCTAGAGTGGCACTCTGAAAGACACCACTCAAGGTTCAGCCATGTGACCCTTCAGCAGCAGTGCGGCAGTGGCCTGTGCTACGGGGTTGCAGAGGTCAGGAGAGCCCTCTGAGAAGCTCAAACGGCCCTCCCCCAAGAGCGTCTTCCAGTGACTAGCTGGTTTCCATGTGGCTTCCTTTCTCAGTGGTTAGAGTTGCCCTTGGCTTCTGTGGGATACATGAGCTCCATTCTAGGTGATAGCAATGGGGCATGATGAGACAGGGGTACCTGATGGCTGTTGCACTTTAAGAGACAGGGCTGGGGTGGCCCTGGGCCCTCTGGCCTGTGCAGCTCCTGCTGTCCAATGTTAGTTATCTCCTACATCCTCATATCAAGAGCATGATGTGGGGAAAGACAGAGCCTGACAGAGAGGCCGGAGATGAGGGACCACTTCCAGAAATGCCTTGATTGCGAGGGCTCCAGTCTCCCCATCATCACTGGCAAAGGAAAAAGAGTGAGAACTTTGGGTTCAAACCCCAGAGTACATTAGACACATCCAGGCAGCTCAAAGTCCACAGGGCTGGAATCTATTGATAACCTAGTGAGACTTGGGCTGGCACTCCCTGAGGTCTGTCCTCAAGGTGACTATCTCTGAGAGCCACCAGCTGCCTGAGATGCCCCAGCTCATCAAGCATTGTGACTCCCTAACACTGTCCCCCCAACCCTCTGCTCCTTACTCAACAGTCTGTGAAAAGTCACACCAGTGCTCCCTGGATGCCACATTGGGCACTGGCAGAGCCTGCTCTTTGCTGGAAACATTCTTATTGAAAACCTAGAAACATCGCAAAGGGACTCAGGGCAGCATGAGTACCTCCCATAATCACCAGCCTGTGCTCATCAGCCTTAGCTCTCCTCCCTCCTACCTCTCGGAGAAGCCTGGAAGATTGTTGGAAAATGCCGAACATCATGTCAATTAACAAGACCAATAGACTGACTGGTCCTTCAGGTTGTTTGTTTGTGTTTGTTTTTATTATGGTCACAATGTCATGTGTCTAGCAGAATTAACAGTAGCCTCTTTGTATTCTTGAGCACTCCGCTTGACTTTCTAATGCCTCTTGCTTGACTCTACATCTTCCTCAGTCTGTACATTATATGTGTTGTCATGGCATAAACTGATGACAGGGCTGCTCCATGGTATGGTTAAGGAGAAGGTTTTGTTGTGGATATGAAAGAGAGAGCAGCCAGAGACATTTGGGAGAGTCCAGAGCAGAGAGAGAAGGTAGTAGGGTGAGTATGGCCAGCAGGGCTTGCATGTGGCCAGGCTATCTGTGAGGGGAGCATAGCAGGAGATAGAAGAGAGAGAAAATGTAGTTAGAGGTAAAAGAAACAAAGAGAAAAAGACAGAGAAAGAAACAGAGAGAGAGAAAGAGACTGAGAGTGAGTGAGTGAGAAAACTGGAAGGAATGAATTTGGGGTAGGGGGAGAAGGTGGGAGGGAGTTTGAAATGTGTAACAGGAATGGGGCCAGCATGCACTTTGTCATTCTAACAGTCGCCACAGGTCTCCCTGTGTGTGTGTGTCTCGTGGAAATGGCTCCTTTTGTTAGAGAAAGCCAGCTTCACAAGTTTCCGAGGAGTGCTGGCTGTTATCATCAGAAATCCTCCTACCCAGGCTGAGCCCATTTCTGGGTATCTGGGCTGCCTTTTGGAATTTGGGGAACTGGAGTCTCTTTTGGACCATAAAAATTCATCTCTCAAGTGTCTTTTCATCTGTCTCTCACCTTCTTTTTAGAGAAACTGGGCCAATCATCCTTGTATCCTTGAGTTTTCTGTTCTGAGTAGTCAGGGCTGGTGGGGCCAGTCATACTGGTGGGTTGGCGGTGGGACTTAGTGCTTCTGGGAAACTCTGTCCACACATATTAGTAACCATAAAACTGCATATTAACAAGAAGTTAACCACCACACAATTGCAACCAGGAATTTGGTTTCAAGAATCCCCCTCAATGGAGATAGCCTGATACGTAAGAAAGGATTTGTTTACTAGGATGCTAACCTTAATATCTGTCCGTAGTAGAGGGAACTTGGGTCTTATTTAATTAGCTAGCAAAAGGAGACTAATTGAATTAAAGTCTATTCAAATAATGGAACATTAGATGTTATTACAATTATTCCCATTTGTACTCAGTGTTGGGGGAAATGCTTACCGTACCATGCTAAGTGAAAGAAGATGGCTATAAACTTGAGTGTGCTGTGTGGTCTTAACTGTTTAGAAATACATATGCTAGAAGAAAGCACCCTCTCTAAATGTCAGCAGTGCTGCTACAGAGCGATGGGACCATGGAGGTTCTTCACGTGTTCTGTTGCTTTTTGCTGTGGAACTTACAGCTTTTACAGTAGATTTTCTTTTACATTGGTGTTTGCTTTGTTTCTGTAGAGCTAAGGGTTGAACACAAATCCTTTGTACGTTGTACACCAGCTTTATACCACTGACCTATATTCCTAGCCCTTATAACAGAATTTTTTTAAAGTATTTTAATTAATTTATTTATTCAGGAGATGTGGCATGTACACACACATGAATAGAGGCCAAAATAGGGCATCAGCTGCCCTCCAAAATTCTTTAGTTATTCTTTTGAGGCAAGTTCTCTCCCTGAAACTGAGTGCCCCCCCTTCTCAACCAGACTTGAAGCCAACAAGCCCTATCAACCCTCCTGTCTCCACCCCACTCCCCAAACTACAGTTATGGGCATTTGCAGGATGTCCACATTGATAATGGGCACTGTCCATGACTGCAGCAACCAGTCTTGTGTGCTGAGACATCTCTCTAAGCCCACATTTTTTAATAAGTCTTTAAAAAGAGGATGGAGGGGCAGCTGTAAGGAGGAGGATGGAGAGAGAGGAGGAGGAAAAGGAGACACAGGAGGAAGACAAGCAGGAGGATAGGGATAGGTGAAGCAAAGCAAAGCGTGGCATCCTGGCATGCAAGTTGTGAAGACAGACCAGGGCCAAGCGCCTGTGCTATGAACAGAAATCGGTGCCCTGTTCCTGTGTAGAGGCCTTAACAGCACAGGTAGGATAGTCAAAAAAGCAGCTGCTCTGGAATATGCTCAGAATCATTTTGAATCCCAGAGGGGATACAGTTTAGGGGGCACAAGACAAGCCCGATTCTGCTGCTCACCTGCAACGGATGTCTTCCATGTGTCCTTGTTTCAGACTCCTGCAGCGGCCAAGGACCACCACTACCTCTTGGTTTGTTGTGAGATTCAATGAGTTCAGAGTGGAAAACTTTGCCTAGCACATGGTACCTGCTCTGTAAACTAGCCACACGCAGCTATTTATCACATGAGGCTCAGAGAAGGTTCAGGCACTGCTCATGGTCACACAGCTCCTGGAAGAAGGGATAACAGCATGGTCTTTGAGCTTTGTGCCTGTCTAGTTAGGTTTTTGTGCTGTCTAGAGCCAAGCCACCACCTTCAGACATGAGCCGGAAATTAATCAGCAAAGCCCACCGTGTTTAAAATGAAGTAATTCTATTGGCTGAGTCCTTTGTCCTCTGTGGACCTCAGTTTCCCTATCTGTTATAGAAGATCTTTCTGAATCACATGTTCTGCCCTTGGTTTTGTTCTTGGGAGGAGACTAATGAAGAAGAGGACTCTGGTCCCCGGTGGGCCTCGCGGCAGCTGGAGAACCTCAGGAGGTCTGTAGTCGGGGGGAACAGGGCTTACCTGTGGTGCAGCAGCCAGGATGAAGGGGTGCTAAGGCAAATGCTGCCTGAGACCCCCCCACACACTATAGAGGTAACAGTTTGTCTTCTGAGAGAACTGCTCAGACAAGTTATCCCCACATCCTGTGATTCTCCAGAGCTCCTGCCGTGGCCACAGGAGACAGCTTGGCTGCCCTTCTCCATTGCTGCTTTGGCCCTGGGTCTCTGCTTCAGCTCTCTTGGAGAGCAATCTCTAGGGAAGCCCGTGGGTGAGGGGTTCTCCTTGGTCTCCACCTCTGTCACTTCAGGGAACTTCAGAGGCAGCGGGGCTCTAAGGGCATGCAGGGAACCCTAAAAAGAAGCCCCACAGCACCTACATCTGGGGGTTCACTGTTGATGTCCCTCTCCACTCATATTGTGTTTGGCTCAGCCATTCTTTCAGCTGATTTGTCAAGACAGCCATTTCTCTGGAGGCTTTTTGATAGCTGAGATCTCATAGGTTCTCTTTTCTCCTTCTCCTCTCCTTCCTCCTCCTTCCCACCCCTGCCCCTTTCTCTTCCCCACACGGACAGTTCTGGCATCTAAAGACATTTTTTGAACAGCAGTTATGTCAGGATGGAGGAGCACCCTGGAGAAGCCCATGGTTTCAGGAAGGCAGGCAGGTCTGGGAGGCGTTAAGACCCAGAGAGGCTTGGGTGGTGTGGAATGAGCAGTTCACTGGTTCCAGATGCCAAGGCTCTGGCCTAGCCCAAACAAGGGCTGGGGAAATCCTCAGGCAACACCAGGGTTTGTGCAATGTGTGTCTGTATGGACAGCTTATCCGTGCCCTTTCTCTCACCAGTATGATTCGGGAACTAAGGGCCACCGAGCTCTGAGAACCAAGGGAGTAGTGGTTGCAGGGGGCAGGGTGACAGGGTATGCCTTGGGTCATCCTTGTAAAAGACCATGTCCTTCTTTAGTTTGGGTTCAGAGCTTACCAGTGAGCAGTTTCTACAGAGAGGAAGGGAGTGGTGGGAAGAGATGTCTCATTGATCCTGTGGACTTCTTTAGGGTGATGCTGTGGGGAGGGAGTCTTCCTGGACCCCACAGCCCCTACAGTTCCTTTAGTCAGTCCTCAGGCTTCCTCCATTCTGGAGTCCTGTAGGATTCAGCTCCATATTTCACTTATATGTCATATTTTCTGGACCCTGAGGGACCAAGAAGGATATCCCACCAGATCTGTTTCTTTCCCTGGGCTTCCTAACTCTAAGAATGATACCCCGTTTATCTGGTCACCAGGAAAAAAAAACACGAAGGTCCTCAATGAAACACCATGATCAATGCGACTTAAAAAAGAAGCGATTTAATTGGCGGCTGGCTTACAGTTTCAGGTTTTTCTATTATCATTGTGGTGAGAAGCATGGTGGCAGGCAGGCAGGCTTGGTGCCGAAGAAGATGAGAGCTTACATCCGATCCTCAAATTACAGGCCAAGAGGGATGGCAACTGGGTCTGGCATAGGCTTCTGAAACCTCAAAGCCCACCCCTAGTGACAGTCTCATTAACCAGGGACCAAGCATTCAAACCTCCACAACTCCCTCGTGATAGCCACAGGACAGTAACTCTCTACTCCTAGCTCTAACCTGCAACCCTGATCCTTCTTGGAACTCTCAGTCAGGGCTCAGCATATACACATTTAGTGATCAGATAAAGCCATGTCCAAGTCCTTACCTTCAGGATGGCTTCCCTCTGGAGGCCACCGAGAAACTAAGTCTGGAGAGAAAACAGAAAAGGTTGAAGGGAGGCTGAGACTGGCCACCTGCAGCTGGGGTGGCTGATGCAGGACTCAGCTGGAAAGGGGAACGGAGGAGAGCCAGAGGGAAGCCAGCCGTAGACTTAGTAAGACTCCAGAATATGGGAACACTTGGGCCGTCGTGGTTGTCTGTGGAGACTGGTGCCTGAAACCACATGTAGGAATTGCTGCTTTCTGCAGGTTGGAGTGGAGGCCGAGGGCTCTGGCCCCATATGGGGCGTGGATGGCTCTGGCTCTGGAGACATTCTGGGCAATGAGGATCTGTTGAGAGTGAGTATCAGGGGTGCTGGGGGCTGGTGTTGGGGGCCTGAGAGGGAAGGTTGAGGGGCCAGGGGGCAGGTGAAAGTAGACTGGTCCCTTGGGAAGTGTTGGCTGGAGTCTGTGGAGACCACCATACATTCCCCTCTACTTTGCCCATGTTTGGAATTTACCCCTCATTTTAAACTGGCGCGAACTTAGGTTTGTCTTGAGAACCCCTCTTCTCCACCTTCCTCCTCTCCCTGGAATCCCTTTCTTTCTCCTTCATAGCAAGTTGACCTTCACCTCCAACCATGTCTCTCATCCTACTCTTCTTTATTCATGAAAGAATTGCTCCGGGTTCTTCTTTGTTTGGATAGCATTTCGTACTCAGTTTCCAGTGTAAAATCTTCCGTGGCCCCCAACTCTTGGCCCATTCTTGGTGCCTGTGGCACATTTGGCCTGCCCAAGGCTAGGCTTTACCAGTCCTCTCTAAATTACCCAAGCGGGGTGTGGCTGTTTTTAGATGTAGCTGTTGCTCCATCCTTGGGCCCAACCTTCTCTCCAGCACTTCTCTTGAGCCCTCTGCTGCCCACTTAGCTGTCCCTGCCCACTACTCATGACCAGGACTTCCCTCTGGGCTCACTGGCATGAAAGCCCAGCGGATCTACCAGGAACACTGTGGGCTGGTGACAGACCAGCAGGAGGCTGAGGAAGCGATCCACCTTGGGAAGCATTTCAGGACAAGGCCAAACCCAGATTGTCTGCCTGCCTTTACGGTCAATTAGAAAGCTGAATTAGCCAGGGTTCCTCTGGGATCCCAGAGAAGTGGGAGAAATCATGGTATGATCTCCTTGGAAAGCCTTACAGTCAAATGTCAGCTCCTCTGCATCTCAACTGTGTGTGTGTGTGAGTGCTTGAGTCCTGTTGTCTCACTGAGCCTCAGTTTCTCCCTGTGCAAGGTGAGAACCCTCCAATCCTTCCTTATCGAATTGTTGCAAGGATGGGAAATAAGGTAAAAACCTTCATGCTTGGTGTATTTGCCCTCCCTTGTCACTTCTAACACGCTGTCTTTCAGGGTCCTCCGGGCCCCCCAGGCCCACCTGGACCACCTGGAATTCCAGGAAAGCCTGGAACTGATGTTTTCATGGGACCCCCTGGATCTCCTGGAGAGGATGGAGTTGCTGGTGAGCCAGGACCCCCGGTAAGCAACTGAAGCCTCCTCCCTCACTCCATGACTGTGGGCTTCCTTTCACATGCAGATTATAGACCCAGCACTACCCAAGGCTGGGACCAAATTTTCCCCCATCTAAGTCATTGCTGAGACTCCACAGAAGAGAGGCAAGAATATACTGTATGCACTGCCTTCTTGATTTATATGGGGGTGGGGGTGCAGGCTTATGGAGGTTTTGGAACCTACCACAGGATTCCAGAGTTAAGCCTGGTGTGGGAAAGCCGTGGAGACCATCTGGTCCTGCCCTGCTCCTGAGGTCCTCTAAGGCAGAGACATAACCAGGAGAACAGAGGATGCTTGTCTTTGGTCTTAGGGCACAAGCAGCTAGCCCTGTGCCCACTGGCCTAGAGTTCCCCAAACTTCCATCCTTCCTAGGTAGGGTTTGTGTGATTTTTAGCAGAGATGCTGTGAGCTGATTGTCACTGATGTTCCCCAGGGCCCCGAGGGACAGCCTGGACTTACTGGAGCCTCTGGACAGCCTGGAATGAAAGGAGAGAAGGTATGAGAGGCTCCAACACAGGGAGCCAGCCTGGATGCTCTCTGACCCCTAGCCTGAGTTTGTCTCCTCTGTTATTCCCTTTGGTCACCTCTGTTGGATACCCCACCATTTAAACTCAAAATTCTCTCATCTGTTTCTCCTTCCTGCTTCTGTGTGCCCTGGCATCAGTGAACGGTAGCAGTATCATCTACCCTGTGGCTTGTGGCCTGTGGCCAGTGTCCAAAGCTCTTTCCCAGCTCCCTCTTCTCTTCTTTCCTTCTCTGTCGCCGTTGGCCAGTTATCAAGACTTCCATATCTATGTCCTTTCTGTGCATTCTGATCATCTCTTCCTGCCCACCCTGTAACACTAGGACACTCACTGAGGTCCTCTTCTCCTATGGTCACCTCCACCTGTGCCTGTCCACCTTCATGTAGCTCACCAGCTCCTGAGGAAATTCCAACTGCTGCCTGTTGGGCAAAGTCCCAATTTAGTCCTTCTTGGTTGGGACCAGCTGTCTCTGTAGCTCATAGCCCATTGCTCACTGGTACAGCTCTGACCAACAAGCCAGTTGCTGCAAGATCCGCTCTGCCAGCTTCTAAGCCTCAGAATGTGGGATCTCCCTTGTCTGGAATGCCATTTCTTTTCGTCATCAAGTTCAGATACAGTGAACATTGTTTATCCTAAGGGTTATGTTACTGACTCCTTCCCACACATACATTTTGTTTTCTTTCCTTGTATATATACATACATACATACATACATACATACATACATACATACATACATACATATCTATTTGGCTTCTAAATCAAACACAATAAAAGATTAACTACAATAACTAATGATACAATCATAACAATATGCTATAATAAAATTACTAGCATCACTACTCTCTACTTTGGAGCCATTATTAAGTAAAACAAGGGGTAATGAATGGGTGAATAATACTATGCAATAGATCAGACAACCATGATGACAGCTAAGTTACTGGTGGTAGGGAATGTATACAACACGGATAAGCTAGAGCAAAGGATTGCTTATATCCTAGGTAGGATGGAGCAGGAAGTTGTAAAACCTCGTGGTGCTGTTCAGAATGGTGTGTGATTTAAAACTTGTGAATTGCTTGTTTACAGAATTTTCCACTTAATAATTTCAGCCTGTGGCTAACTGGATAGCTGAACCACAGAGAGTGGAACTGCGGGTAACATGAGGGGGATACTGAATGTCCTCCTCCCACTCTTTCATTTGGATTTAGTCCTTTGTTTGGGGTTTGCTGAGACAGGGCCATGCTACGTAGCTGGGTTTACCCCGACCTTGTGATCTTGTGATCCCTCCGCCGAACATCTAGTGCTAGAATTACAGATGTGTTCCGTCATGCCTGACTTCTCTCAACTCTTCCAGCACCTCTTTTTCTTCCTCTTTCTGTGACCACAGAGTTCGTGTCACTCTCATTCTTAGCCAAAGGCACAGAAGGTGCTAGCCTACCTGCCTAACCTGCACCCTTATCTACCACAGAGTGGGAATGTCCTTCCAACCTTCCCGCCTCTCTTAGTCTTTGATGAATAGTGAAATATTCTCCAAACACCGCTTGAGGTTACCATTTCTAGTTAGCCCGCCTTTAGTCTTTCTTGGCAAGTCTGTTTACCTACTGTCTATGCTGGCGCTCTCGGGGGAAGGCCATTCATGCCCTTGCAGCCTTCCCAGACATAATGAAGGCAAGCTTCTTTCCATAAAGAGAGATAATAAATAAAAACAAGACACTTTGCACTAGTGGTATGCTAATGGGGTTTCAAGGGACCCACCGAAGAGCAGGCTGGGGCCCTGTGTATCACACCCCTGAACATGTTTAAAGCACTTCCTGCCAGGACACTCTCACTGAATCAAATCCCCTGAGTCCGCTTGGCTGAAAGAGTAACCTGATTCTTGTTGCAAGTGAATTTCTCAGAAAAAGAAACAACTGTGAGATCTCGGGGAACTTGTTTTATTCAAACCAACAGTTTTGTAAGAAATCTAGGTCTGCAGGAAGCCCCACCAACCCACACTCACCTTGCCTGCTTCCACAGACCGGCGGCTAAACCTCCCACACTGTCTGTACTTGAAGACACCCCTGACGCCCCTGCTGGCTTCAGCTGGCTCAGCAGAGGCGCAGGGAGGCCCTGGATAATTGCTGGAGATCCACCTTGCTGGCTTATTCCTGGGATTTGCTAAGAGGCCCACTGTCATACTGAGCACATGAGAAAGAAGCCTTTTCCTTAAGCAAAAGCAGATTCTAGAAGGACTTAGACATTTGCATTTGGGGAGTTGAAGGGAAACCAAACAGCCTGGAACACTGTCACATAAATGTGACTTCATTTCATGAAAGAAATGACTGTCTTGGGGCCCTTATAAGATGTTAGGTCCGATGATACATTTGACCCCTGACTCCTGCCACACTGTCTGTCTTTGGCCCACACATCCTTATTGACAGCGCCTAGACAGCACCTCCCACGGCTGGATACGCTGAGTTGTAGGAAGTCTTTTCTCATGCAATGAGCCAGACACACAGAAGAGCCCTGGCAATTATCCAAATTGGGGGACAGGTCCCATGCTACTCACACTGACTCAACCTCCTAAAGATGACCTTGAATTCTAATCCTCCTGGCTCTAATCCTCCAGCCTTTCCCTCCCAAATGCCAGAATTAACACATGTGCACAACCGTACAGGGCTCAAAGTGAGGTACCCTTCTGCCACACATAATGAACAAGACTCAATATAGTCATTCAATATACCTACTCAACATATTGTCTGGAAAATTTAATGCACTTATATACAACCATTATTGTCAAACATGAACCTGTCAGCAAAGTGTAGATAGCCTTTAAGAGCTCATCTAGAAGATTATTTATGGTGTTTAGCACAAATAGAAGTATCTTTTATTTTCCCCACATTAAATTGAACAGCTAATCCTGACACCTTTATCCCAGGAGCAAAGAGGTGGGAACGGCCTATTTTCCCAGCTGCAGAGCACATCTGTTAGGGAAGCTGAGGAGCCTGCTAGAGAGCAGGATCCTTGGACTTGACTCCTCTTTGCATTGCAGCTTTGGCCTCCAGTTCTGCCAGGAACGAGGGCATGAAGTGTTCAGGATCCAGGGCATTCATGATATTCCTCAGCCTTAGAAGGTTCTGAGACACCCATACAGGAAAGAGTCTGTGCTCTGAAGTTTTCTCAACTGCGCAGAACCTTGAGCTCCCAAGAGCTGTCTTTGAGTAACCTCACTGGGCTGGAAATGTCAATGTAGACACAGCTTTTGTCTTTCCCATAAGTTAGAAGAGAATTGGATGGCATCGTCACCGCTGTCCTTTTTCTTAGCTATCCCAAACTGCTTTGGAACGCGGCTCATGTGACATCAGGGTACCCTTGAAGACTTTTTGAGCATTGAGCTGATTTTGCTAGAATCCAGAAGTTGGCTGCACCTGAAGTCCAGCACATCACAGTACTGGCTTGGCTTCTCATCTTTTCTCTTTCATTATCAGTTGGCTTTGGCACAGCATTTGTGTGACTGGTTTCCACAAAACCAACGAGACTGCAGTAGGGAATACTGAGCTGAAATTATTGTTACTACCAAGCCTGTGAGTGAACCCAGGGGACTACCCTACAAGGACCCCAGCAGGAAAAAAAAAAGAAAGAAAGAAACAACCCATGTATCTGTTGTCTTCTTCCATGTTCCTGTATGTAGACATCTTATAATGCCCTTGATGGTTCAGTTTACCACAATGAGCCAAAATTTCTACAGAATTCTGCTAACCTTCTTGTTGCTATGAGAAAAGGTGGAAGGATTTGCTTTGGCTTTCAGATTCAGAGATTTCAGCTTATGGTAGGAGCCCATCGTGGGGCAGGAGGCAGGGGTCAGAGGCTCAGGCCACCACAGTGAGAGTCTGTGGAGGGGCAGTCACAGCAGCTCATGTTGGCCAGGAAGCAGAATGCATGCCTGAGCTAGAAGCTCTCCTTTCTCCAATTTTATTCCACGTGGACACCCCAGTCTATGGGACATACCATTCAGATTCAGGGTGGGGTCTCATTCCTAAGTTAATCCTCTCTGGAAACACCACAGGGATGCCCAGAAGGGAGTTTGACTGGTCTTGGCACTCTCAGGCCAATCAAGCTGATAGTTAAAATTTATCATCACAGATTCTAAACTACAGGACGTGGTGGCTCACACCTTTAATACTAGCTGTGGAGGTAGAAGCAGGAGAATCTCTAAGAATGTGAGACCAGCCTGGTCCACATAGTGAGTTCCAGGCCATCCAGGGCTACATAGTGAGAGCTTGTCTCAAGGTAAAAATGTTTTTTTTTTTAATTCTAAATTATGATCTTATGACACACAGCATTGTTGTGACTCATAGAGTCACACTGTAGAGTTGATCTTTCTACAGTTTTCCACTTGTAACCACATAGCTCTATTAGTTGGAATTCCAAGAAAGTGCCTCGGCTTGATACAAACACACACACACACACACACACACACACACAGAGAGAGAGAGAGAGAGAGAGAGAGAGAGAGAGAGAAGTGGTGTATGTTATTGTCCCATTTCCGAAGTGCAGAGTATTTCCTGAACTACTAATTACAGTTCTCAGTTTTCACCCTACTCATTCATAACATTTCCAGTAAGGTAGCCCTTCCATCTCCTGGCTAATGTGCTTATGTTCCAAACTGATGGCCACCATTCCTGTGAGCCAGTGGACTGGATGGACCCAGGCCCTACCTTGTTCAAGCAGAGTAAAATAATCAGAGAAGGATCAGGGACTATTGTGGCTTCTAGAACATTCCTCTTAATCTGCTACAAGATGCACTTGGCTTAAATGAACTTGGGAAAGCAATTGGAAATACTGCAGTTTTCCACTTTGTGATAATAATTCTCTTTAATGGGAGCAATTGAAAGCATAGGTGAATGTTTTCAGAGATGAGGTAACATGAGGTATGATTCACAGGAGCCCTGTTGGTGGCTTGATGTATGGCTGGAAACAGTTACATTTCTTTTCTTTTCCTCTTTCATGATTCAGGTTTATTACCTGCATTCAGTTTTTTTTTAATTAAATTTTTTTATTTTTTATTTATTACAATTTATTCACTTTGTATCTCAGGTGTAGCCCCTCCCTCATCCCTTCTCATGCCCTTCCCCCAGTCCACTGACAGCGAAAGTCCTCCTTTCCTTGCATCTGACCCTAGCTTATCAGGTCTCATCAGGGCTGGCTGCATTGTCTTCCTCTGTGGCCTGGTAAGACCCAGAAATAAACCCACACACCTGATGGACACCTGAATTTTTTTTTACAAAGATGCCAAAACCATACAATGGAAAAAAAAAGATAGCATCTTCAACAAATGGTGTTGGTCTAACTGGATGTCTATACATAGAAAAATACAAACAGATCCTTACTTATCACCCTGCACAAAACTAAAGTTCAAGTGGATCAAAGGCCTCAACATAAAACCAGACACACTAAACCTGTTAGAAGAAAAAGTGGGGAAAGAGCCTTGAACTCGTTGGCACAGGAGACAACTTTCTGAACAGAACACCAACAGCACAGGCTCTAAGAGCAACAATCAATAAGCGGGACCTCATGAAACTGAAGCAAAGGACACTGTCATCAACAAAATGACAGCTTACAGGCTGGGAAAGAATCTTCACCAACCTTTTATCTGACAGAGGGCTAATAAATCCAGAATATAGAAAGAACTCAAGAAGTTAAACAGCAGCAAACCAAGTAATCCAATTAAAAAGTGGGGCACAGAGCTAAACAAGAGAATTCTCAATAGATACTTAAGAAGGGATTAAAGTTGGGGAGGAAGAGGTATGCGAATCTCTGTGAGTTTGAGGCCAGCCAGGTCTACAAAGTGAGTTCAGGACAGCCAGGGCTACACAGAGAGACCCTGTCTCAGAGAGAGAGAGAGAGAGAGAGAGAGAGAGAAGGGACTGAAGTAGGCAGTGTACAATGTGTAACTGCTCCTGCCCAAGAGGAACAAAAATAAGAAACTTCAGCCTTCACGTTTAGCAGCTAAATTGGAACTCAGTAACTTGGGACACATTTCTACCCCGGGTAGAAGGTCTCACAAAATTGCTCAGTTTACCCCTGTTGGCCATTGGTGGCCGTGACTACTTCCCCTGCTTCGTGGCTGAGTGTTCTGTTTCCTTCTGCCTCCCCAAAGAGCCAGGACACGCTTGGTGCCTCCTGGTTTAGGGGTCATCTGAGCTTCTTCAGGACTGCCCAGGACCAACTACAGAGAGTTCTGAGCCCGGTATACTCCATTCTGATAACTCAGTACACTCCAGCATGCTCTCCCTGCCCTGGGAGTCTGGTGATTCCTCCAACAGGGCCCAACTCTTTTGCTGCAGTCACCCTCCCTGACCCCATCCTTAAAACAAGGACGGAGCAGGGTCTCTCAGTCAAGGCCCTCTTTCCTCCATGCTCCACACACACCAGGCACTTGCCATCCTCCAGCACTGCTGGACAGCCCTCAGAAGCAGACAGCTGAGCCTTCGCTGAGCAGAGAGGGAGGATGGCTGCCTGTGGGCCTATGGGTGGTTTGTCTTCATGCTGGTCTATCCAGAGATGCTCTCACCTCTGTTTACCTGAAGCTTTTGTTTAGGCACCTCCACGAAGCCTTCCCAGAGCCAGCTGGAGGGAACCTGAATGATGATTCAATCCCTGGCTTTAGACCTGTGTCTTGGCAGAGCCTTAGGAGCAGGAAGTGTGTTGGGATAGGATGCTCAGAGGGGAAGACAGGGCTATTCTGCCTCAGGCAGTCTTTTGAGTGACTTTGTAGTTATAGAAGTAGTCAAGCCATACACCTCTCATTGCTTCCTGCGCCCTGTGTTTTCTCCTCAACTATTCTGGTGGATCAGATCCCTGTAGTGTTTTCAAAGCAGGTCTGCACGTGGCAAAGTTTCTAGATTTTAGCTGTTTAAAATCTTCTCTTAGTCTGGTGTGGGGAACACATGCCTTTAATTCTAGCACTCAGGAGGCAGAGGTGGGTGAGCTCTATGTGTTTGAGGCCAGCCTGGTCTAGACAGGGATTCCAGACCGTACATAATCATATCCTGTCTTATTTGACTGCATATGCTGTTCTAGGTTTGAAACCATTTGCTCCTGAGATTTGCAGATAATCTCTGCTGTTAGGATGAACTCAGATTTCACTCCCAGTCTCAGCCTAGCTAAAGCCATCTGGCTTTTCCCTTTGGTGGATTTTAGGAGTCACTTTTCTTTGTGTGGTGTATTGAAGTCACCCATGCGCTATCACTGGATACAGAGACCTCTGGGTTGTGGCGCCTTTGGTTTTTGTTTTTCCAGACATGTTCAGTGGAACCTCTCAGCTTTCGGCCAAGGTCAAGTGGAGGAATGCCCAGTTACTGTTGCTCACATGCTGCTTTCTCTTTGTCTTTATTCTCTATTCTATTTGATCAGTTAGTGGAACTCCTGGTTGTCCTCTGAGCTCCATTAGGTCTTTTATTCTTTTGTGCTGCTTTTTTAATCAGTTCTGTAGCCTGGTCTTTGGTCTTTTCTATTAATTTTCTCTTCAGGGGATGTCTCTTCTTAGCCCCATAGAGTTCCTCATTTTCAACCATGATTTGTTTTTATGTCCATGACTCCTAATTGGTTCTTTTTCATAACCACTGTTCTCATCTCATAATAGTTTGTTCTTGTTTTCCCTTTTCTCTCTGAAAGTATTGAAGTTCTTATTGCATTGTTTTCTTTGTTCTATTGTTGCTTTCAAATTTTGGTGTCTCATTTTAGTTTTCAGGCTTCTGTTGGCATAGACCATTGAGAAAGTGGGCAGTGGTTTGTGAGTGTCTCAATGGAATGGAAAGAGTAGAATGTCCATCAGACATGGTACCTCAAAAATCGATCTCACTTTTGGTGCCCACAGACCTTCTAGGCTTCCAGGGCCCTGTCTTCTCTTTGCTCCTGAAAGTAGCTCTTACTGTTCTTGTGGCATTACAGTACCCACAGGTTCCTGGCAAGACTGGGCCTAGAAATGAGGGAACTGGTCAGGGTTGGATGGCTGTCCTAGTATAGAAACTCAACCTGTTTCCCTGTTAGATCCTCCTGGGGCATCCCCACTTCCTGCTTCCTTCAGGGTCCCCCCAAGTTGCTCCCTCCTGTGTCCCCAGCCCCCACATGTGCTCTTGCTTTCTCCACCACCATGCAGGGCATTTCCATCTCCGTGGTTCCTATCTGTGGCTGAGGCCTTCTCAGCTTCCTCTCTGTTTCAGTATGGTATTCCTATCTATTTCAGGCCAGGTGACTCCTGTTTCATTTGAGGATGGCTACTATGGACTCACCACCCATCCATCCTATGGGTGATGTAGGTTACTGCTATGGATTCGATCTAGCCCAGGAAAGGGGCAAAGAGAGACACAGTAGTCTTCGGTGGTTGGCACATCATAATCAATGTTACAGCCTCTATGTGGCCATGTGATGGCTGGACTGTCTCTCACAGTGTCTGAGGTTCAGGTCCAGTTGCCTAGCTCCATAGTTTGCGTCTGGGCCATGGTGAAGCAGAATCATGGCAGCAAGATAGCATGGCATAACAAAGCTGAGAACTCTTGGCAGCAGAGAGTGGTGAGGTGTGGATGCTGTCCTAGCTGGCTCCCTGTTTCTTCCAGCTTAGCCTGTGTGCCCCCAGCCTATGGAATGGTGCTACCCACATTCATTGTGGGTCTTCCCCTTTTAGTTGATGCTCTCTAGAGACTTCCCAGCAGACACATCCAGAAGCGTGCCTTACAGTGCTTCTCAGCCCAACCAAGCTGATAACCAGAATGAACCACTACCCCTTCCCTTGGTTTAAAGTTGGAAGAGCTCTTTACCTCTGTCATGGCAGGGGCGGGGCAGGGACAGCTGCCTGGGTGTGTGTCTCCGAGAGACTGCTTTGATCTCTTGAGTTTTATGCCAACTGCTTTAGTTTAATCTTAAGGAGGAGGGGTTGGTTAATTATTGAGGAATGGGTTTCTCAAGGTTTGGGCCTGACTTGTTCAGTAGACTGATACCTACGGTAATGTGCTCAGCCTGGAGACACCAGCCAAACCCAGACAGAATGATCCTGTTGAATCCTGTTATTCACATGTCTGTATTTCTACATTTTTCTTTGAGCAAGCCCAGTGCGATGCATCCTAATTGGTCCCTGTGTTCATGTGTTTCAGGGAGCAAGAGGGCCTAACGGCTCAGTTGGCGAGAAGGTAATTGAGCGTAGCTCTTCCCTCCCCCACTTTCCTTTGCTATCAGTGTCCCTCCCGGGCTGGCAGAGTGAACCCATAAATGTCACGGAGCAAAGAGAAGCCCTCCCTAGAGCAGTGGCTCAGGGAAGATAACGCCAGCTGGAATGGTGCGGAGTGAACCCCTCACTGTCCCCCCTTCCTCCCTCCACTAGTGAGCACGGCAGCCAAGGGAAATGTCAATTAGTGAGACAGCTGTTCTGTGCCATCAAGCAGTGCCCATCAGAGAGTTTCCAAACCTAATTAGCTTCAAAGAGCCGTGTTCTGACTCAGGTGTGCATGCTGCTCCTTCCGGGGGGAATGACAGTAGGTAACTATCCCCGTCTTTTTACAGGGTGATCCCGGCAGCCGTGGCTTACCAGGGCCCCCAGGAAAAAATGGACAAGTTGGAACTCCTGGTGTCATGGGACCACCGGGGCCTCCTGGACCCCCGGGGCCCCCAGGCCCAGGATGTACAACAGAACTTGGATTTGAGGTACCTTTGCCCTTTCTGTGGCCGAGGAATGTTGGATAGTAAGGACCATAGGAAGCCACAGCACACTGGATGCTGACCCCAGGGTAGAGGTTTTAGGGAGTCACCTGTGAGTCTCTACTCCCCAGCATCCCACAGGGGCAAGCAGGGGCCTGGCAGTGAGCACTGCAATCTTTGCTATACTTTCTTCCCCTAGGAGATCGAAGGCTCCGGACACACCCAGCTGCTGAGCAAGCCCAGCATCTCCAGGCCCTCTTCTCCAAGTGTAGGTGTACTCTCATGGACCCTTTTGTGAGGGCTGTCCTGCTGTCACAACGTGTGGAGGGGGCTGTGGGGCCTCTTTTTGATGCTTCAGACTCACTCTGCGTCCAGCCCGGAGTGTGGTGCCTGCACTCATCACAGGCTCTTTCTCCGGCAAGCCACATGGGCCCTTTGCACAGACTGCCACATAGGGGAACATGATAGTCCTCTTTGTCCCTGCTGGCCAGTTCCTCACTAGTGAAGCCCTCTATTTCAATGGCTCCCTGTCATGGTGTTAGACTCACTTTGCTCCTTTTAAAAGCTGTGCTCCCAGCAGGTGCCCTGCTGCTCACTCATCCCCAGTAGGCACCTCCCTTGCCCCGTGTGGTGTGCCTGCATGAAGACACTCCACTGGCAATTATGATCTTGGAACCCAGAGCCAAGTCCCCAGGGAGTCACTTCTGACACACACACACACACACACACACACACACACACACACACACACACAGAGCTTCCTGCACAAACAGGGTCTGTGGGTGGGGTGAAGGAGACACTTCAGTGCTGAGAGAGGGCCTCTGAGGCTTGCCCTCTGGGGGGACTTTTCTTCTGAGCTTGGAAGGGGAATTTCCCCCTCCTCCTTTGAGCCCTTTGCCTGGGACAGCGCCCATTGGTGAGCTAGGGGAGAGATGGCAAGAAGGCAGAGCGCACCAATGAACAGGAGAAAACCAAAGACTGTTTCTTTGTCTGTTTGGTTATTTTCGTCAGGGTCCCAAAGGAGAAAAAGGCGAGCAAGGACCCAAGGTGAGTTAGCCCACCTGAGGCAGGGTCTTTGCAGGGGTCATAGAAACATTATCCACGGACCTTGAGTTTTGTTCTTACTTCCCTCTGCTGTGACTAGGGTGAACCAGGAGTGGATGGAATTGGCACTGTGGGGCCCCCTGGGCCCAGGGGTCCACCTGGGCGTGTCGAGGTCCTGTCCAGTGTAAGTACAACCCAGGTCAGAGCTTGGCCAATTGCTTTCTGCTTTTCTAAAGGGGCCAGGAGGTCACCTGTCCCTCCAGGACTTCAGGACTGGTGGCTATGCAGGTGTCGGAGCCTGTACTGCCAACATGCTCACCTATCTGCTCCTACCTGCTCCATGTCACTGCTCTCCTATGTACGACCTACAGAGTCTGTTCTCCCGCTTGGCAGGGTCAGGGGTCAGACAGCAGCCTAGAAACTAGGGTCTTCAAGGAGCCCTAAAAAAGTTTTCAGGAAGGCTTGAGAAGGAAAGTGCAAGCTTGAGACACCAGCCCGACTTCACCTTCCCTGCTGGCAGAGAGCCCTGACAGCCTCCATCCTGGGGCAGGATGGTACACGTATGGAGCTCACTAACTCCAGAGTCAGACAAGAGAGAGAAGGACAGTGTTGAGCATGCTCCAAACTGTCAACAGGAACCACCCCCCATCTTCCAGGGTGGGAATAAAGAGACCACGAAAAGCCAGAATTATACTTCTGAGGGCCAGTTCTTGTTGGGAGGTGTCTTCGGATGAGCTCATTGGATGGATCTTTGGAAATTTGTTAAAAACTGTTAATAGGCAGATTCCAAAATTTCACTTGGAAAGTACTCTATGTGGGTGAGCAAGCCAGGCCTCTCTCCACTATGACCCCCCAGTCCCAGGGAAGTAGTATTTTGTGGGTTTGATATCTTCGTTTATCTATGTCAAGGAGCAAAGGCTTGGTAATGGCTGTCCTCCTGTGTGCCCCCCCTGTCTTCTGTCTGTTCCCACCTGAGTGTCAGGTAAACCTCTGTGCCTACCATCAACACTCTGATGTAAACACTCAAGTCCATACAGTCTGCCCCAGGCCCAGGGTTTAAAGGTAACTGAGAAGCACACACCCCTGGCAGTTAAGAGGATAACTGGGACAAAGCATGATCCAGAGGACCATAGAGAGGGGACAGGGGAGAAAAGCGGCTTTGGGATTTGAGAAATCAAGGAGGGCTTTCCAGAGGAAGTGTCTTTGGGCAGGGCCTACATGAAGGAGAAGGGTTTTCCTGGGCAGGCATGGAGGACTCTTCAGTGGCAGCAGCACCCTAAGTCAGAACTGTGATGACTGTGCCAGAATATTAGGGACTCACTGTCAGTGGGTACAGACTTGGGGGTGACTGGAGGGATGGAAAGAAGCTGAACTGTGGCTAGATCAGACACATGATTATGTTCATCCATCCATCATCCATCCATCCACCCATCCATCCATCCATCCATCCATCCATCCATCCACTCACCCATCCATCCACCCACCCATCCACCCATCCACCCATTCATCCACTCATCCATCTACCCATCCACCCTCCATCCTCCTACCCATCCATCCATCCACCCATCTATCCCTCCATCCATCAATCCATCAATCCATCCCTCCCTTCCTCTATCCATCAGATATAATAGGCCATGGCCTTTGAGAAAAATCATGATATTTCTAAAAGAATACCAACCGGGCAGACAAGAGAAAGGCCAAGAAAAGTCCCAAAGACCTGGAAAAGAATGACCAGAGTTAAGAGGAAAAAAGAGTCTGATTTAAAAGTGCCAAGCATGTGGGGAAATAGACACTCCTCGGTGCTTGTGGGGGAAGTGTAAATTGCACGGCCCCTTTGGAGGGCTCCCTGACAGTCTGTTCAAACTAAAAATAGATGTCTTCCAGAACTGCACATGGGAAAGCTCTCCACACAAGATGATGGAGTAGAAAAGAATGAGTTGAAGAGGAGTGTACACGGCCTGATGCCATTTATATAAAATAATGACAGACATGAGTTATTTTACACATGCACACACCTTACATGGGCACACACATGTATGCATGCATCTATGCATGTATGTATGTATACATATGCTTGCCATTTTTAAAGACAGAAGGAATTTATCTACTGGGTAATTTTAAAGTTAATTAGAAAGGAAAAGTGACAGGCGGGCTGGGACTGTTTGATGGAGAGTGGGAGGGCTGGGCGCGTTTGGCAGTGGCTTTGGGGTGTGATCAATGTACTCCATGCTGGGTGACTTCAACTAAGGTCTCCCTGCCAGAAGCAAGGAGGAGCACATGTCATTCTCTGTCCTCACTGTGTAATCTTTCTCTTTCAGTCTTTGATCAACATCACCAACGGATCCATGAATTTCTCGGACATTCCTGAGCTCATGGGGCCTCCGGTTTGTATCTGTGCCTGCCCTTGAGGGAGACTTTTAACCCAGATGCCCCCACTGAAACATCGGGTTGGGTTGGAATCCTTTTAGCTTCAGAAGCTTAGAGCCAGAGTCTGTCAAAGTTGAAAAAAAGGAAGCATGCATCTTTGAGAAGTTTTTGTAATACTCTGTGGTGCTGAGTTGTGTTCAGTGGAGCCGAAGTTTCTGGTCCTGTGCACCGGAAATCTGTGTGAGAGCAGAGGGCACCTGGTAGCGCTGCCGTCTGGGCAGCGTTGCAGGCCTACACGCATCTGCTCGGTCTCCTTTCTTAAAATAGGATTCTGCTAATGGGACACTAGAGCCGGAGAAGGATTGGGAGCCACTTCAGCCTTTCTCCCACCATTTTAGACATGAGGAAATCAGCATTCCAGGAGCTCACATGACCCCTGCAGGCTTTAGCACTGACTCATGCCTGACAGGGTCTCAAAAGAAAGAAGTGGTTTCCCTTTGTTCAAAAAACTCCCATGGCATCTGATGGGTACCAGGGAGGAAAAAAGTGCTGGCTATAGGAGCCATGGGGTCCAGCCTCATCTCTGCCAACTACTCAGAGCCCCAGGCTCCCTTTCCAGGCTTTGGGATCGCTTATATGAGGTAGGGGAGGTGAAGGCGCTGGGTACGCTGTAGTATTTGGCAAGTCATTGTGCAGCCAGAGCTGCATGCCCATAGCTGTGCATAGCAGACGTCCTCTGGGGCAGCCTACCTGCAGCTCCCAGGGAGGGTGGTCATTCGCTGGGGGTTGGGAGAGAACCTGAAACATACCTCAAGATTTCGGCAGCTATCTGGAAGATGCCTCCACTCCAGCTTTCTCCTGTGGCATCCACGAGGCTCTTTCCACTGCCTCTTCTATGCTATGTCCCACGCGGCTCCCATCCACTGAATGCTACTGAAATGAATAATCCAAAGACCCAATGTTCAAAGCCCAAGGCAGGCCAGCTACTGGACAAAAAGCCACTCATCGGGGTCTTTGTTCCTGGAAATGATAGAGAGAGGTTTAGGTGCTAGTGGGTGGCTAGCAGACTAAACGTGAGGAATGGCACTTCTGTGCTCTGGGCCCCGGCGCCTGCATTCCGGGCCTCACCTTTCTTACTTTCTTCCCCATCAGTGTCCTCCCTGAATGTGAATCCAGGTCCCCCTCATCCCTAAGGCTGAATTGAGCTTTATCTTATTCTTTGGGAACTTCCACCTACGAAGACTCAACCTATTCCCTTCTCCCCCACACCCCATAATAGCTACTGGGTTAAGACACTTGTTTCTATCTAGTTCTTTTTAAAATGTTATTTATTAACGTTTTGCGTGTGTGTGTGTGGTGAAGAAGGTATGATGAAAGGGGGGCATGTGTGTAACATGGAGTACATATGGAGGTCAGAAGACAAATTGGTACAGTTGGTTCACTCCTGCCTTTTTGTTTGTCTGTTTGAGACAGGATTTCTCTGTGTAACAGAACCCTGGCTGTCCTGGACTTGCTTTTTAGACCAGGCTGACCTTGAACTTATAAAGATCCAGCTGCCACTGCCTCCGAGTGCTAGACTAAAGACGTGCACCACCACCACTCTGCTACACCTACCTTTCTTGTTTTACATGAGTTCTAGAGATTGAACTCAGATCAACCTTGGCAGCAAGCACCTTTCTCTGCTGAGCCACTTGCCAATTCCTCCACATAGTTCCTGTTTATCTGTCTGTCTGATTATCTGCCTGTCCGTCCATCCATCCATCCATCCATCCATCCATCCATCCATCATCCTTCCATCTATATGTGACCTGTCAAGCTCATGTCCCTTTAATCCATCTGGTGTTTGGAGTTGGCAGGAATGGGGCTGTGGCCCAGTGTGGTGGAGTTCACACTCTGTTTGCCAGGCCCTTTAAAGTCCCATCCCAACATGTACCACTTCTCCCCCAGCCTCCTGGCCTATCCTCAAGCCCATCTTCAGAGCTGATTTACCCAGGGTCCCATGCTGTCCAGCACTCCCCAAAATTTCACATTGAATGATGTCATGCAGAGGGAGCTTTAGTAAAGAACAGGGGCAGGTTAGGGAGCGGCATACACCTCTGGGTGCTTGAAGACGATCCCTGCCTTTGTAATTAACTAGCTGTGTGATTCTGGGTGGTACTTTCCCTCCCAGTCCTCAGCACCACCTTCTACAGAGTGGGACAGTGATCCACACTGGCTGGAAATAGGCTTCAATCTTTGGCAGGTTCCTGGGGAGCAGTGGAACCTGCCGGATAAAACAGGCTCAGGCCTTTGCCCTCCTCGGTACTGTGGCCCCTGAGGCACAGTGCTCCATCTGACTCCAAACATTCTGTCTTTGGTATGTTGCAGGGGCCAGATGGTGTGCCAGGGTTGCCGGGATTTCCAGTAAGTACTTGAGTGGCTAACTTCCATCAGTGCTCAGGGCTCTGCTCATTCTGTTCCTACTCCTGGAATGCTGTTCCCTCCACACCTGCATGACCAAGCTCTAGCCCCATCACACATCACACACATTCATTCTCTTCATACTCTCCCCAGAAGCATCTCCTCTTTGAGACCCATGGGGTTTATTTACTATCTTGTGACATGTTCTTCTGTGTGTATGTCTACTCTATGATTGCTCCAGAGGGCTGGGTCTTATGTCTATCTCTGGGCTATCCAGCCCTGGGCAACAGCTTGCCGACCCTAACATTTCAAGTGAGAGTCTGTGCAGGTTAAGTCCCTCAAGACATAGGAAGGGGGTGGTACAAAGAGGAAGACAGAGGTAGGCCACAGAATGGAAGGCTGCTAATCAACAGCCTGTGTGCGCCTTTATAGGAGAGTGATGTGTTTTTGCATAAGAACTGAACAGTTTTATCTAGAATATGTGCCCGTGCAGAAGGCCAGCAGTGGCCCCAGGTAAGGCCTGCACTGCTTCTTTGAAACTCTGCAACTTCAAAAGGCCTGAGGTGCTGTTTCCGGGAAAAATGAAAGAAACAGATAAAACTGTCATAGAAATTTGTTCCTGATGGCTGAACTGTAGATGATCTCATTCTTTTCATACTTTCCTGAACTTTTCATATTTTCTTTTTTAAACACAATGAAATTTTTCCATTTTCTAAATGAGCATAAACTATGAAGATGGTTTTAAAAATATCATGTTCACTAGACATTAGAACAGAAGGGGGGAGGAAGCAGGAGACAGCCTTGTGGGTAGCAGGAAAAGAGGTCTGACCTCTCATCTGCAGCACCCAAGATGGCTGCTTCCAGACTGAGAGTACATTCTAGAACATTCCTTCATTCCTTCTTCCACGTGAATGATTCTGAGGGGGTCACAGCAGGGAGTTAGGGGGGCCTTATGAGCAGGATCCAGGCCACATACTCCATTTGAGAGTCTTCATCTGGCAGATTTGGCCTATTGGCCCTTATTTAAATGTATTTTAAAAAGAAAGAATGAATGAAACATTCACTCCTAAACAATAACGCTCAAATATTTTCAGGACACTGCTCTGATGGATAACATACCCTTTCACATAGAGGCAAGATGGGGGCTTGTGAAAGGTTAAATGGCAATACAGTAACAAAATGCCTTGGGACAGAGGGTATCACGAGTGGGCTAGTCACTGTCACGAATGCTCTGTGTCTACTGAAGATGAAGACCATGAGCTCTGGCTGAAGTGTAGGATTTGGCTCTGCAGAGGGTGACAGCCAGCCCAGCAGGGGTGGTACAGGCTTTAGTACAGGGACAACAGGGCCAGTGTGAGGAAGGTAGCTGTTTTGGGCTGCTGTGTGGGTTCTTCTTTCTTCCACTTTTCTCCACCCTTTTATACCCTTTCAACCTTCTAACATTGGGTAAGAGAGAAAAAAAAAAATAGAGAGGGGAAAGGGGCAACATTACCATTAGACTACTTCCTGCTGATTAAAGCGTTGAGTTCCTTGGGAGAGGTTTGATTTCTGTATATTTCAGGATATCTAATTTCTTCTTGTTTCTTCTTTGCACATGACTACTTAAGAAACCGTGACCAAAAACAGCCAACAGCAAACAGCCAACAACCCATCCCACCTCCTGGGGCCCTAGCATTTACTTATCCGCCCTCCGAAAAGTCCCCAGGATTCCAAACAGTCACAGAAACCACCTGCCACTGACAAAATCACCCGTGCTAGAGCACAATGCGAATCCTAGCCAGCTGCTGTGGACAATCTGAAGCAGCCCCATACACCACACCTTGGATTAAAACAGAAACATAGTCCCATGATACTTCTGTTTTTTTTTGTTTGTTTGTTTGTTTGTTTGTTTGTTTGTTTGTTTTTGTTTTTGTTTTTTTAAGAAACCAAAATTCCAAAATTGTCACTACAGAGGGGGTCAAGGGAAGGGAGTCACCTTCATAGCATGGAGATGAGGCCCAGCCACAATGGCAAGCTAGGATGTTGGGTCCCCTCTTGTGGGGTGAATGTTGGGCAGACAGGTAGAGGATGCCCAGAGCAGCTGTGGGAGAGTTAGCCCAGGAAGAGCAGCTAAAAGCAGCTCCAGTCTCACCTGCCTTCTGTCTAGGGATGCAGGAACAGGTTCCACTTCTCTATCAAAGAATTAAAAGGCAGCAAAGAAGTGTTGCCGGGAGTCTTGGGGATAGCAGCAGATCCAGCATATACCCTGGAAATCAGGGCCTCCTTCTGGGGTTCTCGCTTTCATTAACTAAAGGGTTAATGTATAACCAAAGAGTTAAGCATAGTCAGGTGGGAAGCATGAGGACATTTGATTAGCATTTAGAAGGAAAGCTCGGGGTAGGTAAGCTGTAAATCTCACAGTTGCCCAGAGGAGAAAGAAGATAAACTTGGAGGTCAGCCATGAGATGGTAGGTGCCACCGAGTGGGGGGAGGGGAGTAGAAAAAGAGCAAGGAAGCCAAATCCTTGATTAGAGATTTTAAAAACATCATTAGGCTCTGGCCAGCATCCAAAAGAAAAAGACAGGAGAGAAGAAAAAGAAAGACTTTTCTGAGGAAAGACTAACCTAACGGAAGCTCAGCCCCCCCTGTGGCCTGGGGAGGAAAAGCACAGCTTTCCCAGGAGTGGTTTCCTAACCAGGTCCCTAACATGCCCCATGGATTAGCGCTAAAGTCCTCAAAGTAAGGTTCATTCTCCACAGCTCTGCGGGGGCTCTCCAGGCCTCAACACTCAGTGCTGTCTTCTGCCCACAGGTTCAGGCCTCCTTTAAGTTAGGAAAAGATCAGGACTTCTGGCTGCTTGATAAGTGCTTGTTCTGAGAGAGAGAGGGTGAGGGAGAGAGAAGGGGGAGAAACAGAGACAGAGACACAGAGACAGACAAGACAGAGACAGCGAGAGACAAACCGAGACAGAGACACAAAGACTGAGACAGACAGAGAGACGGAGAGACAGAGACAGAGATGTTTTTGTTTGGGCAATATCTTATAAGCATAATACAGTCCCTCCAATGATTCTTTGCAGGGCCCTAGAGGACCAAAAGGTGACACCGGTGTGCCTGGATTTCCAGGTCTCAAAGGAGAACAGGTAAGGGCCCACCCAGGTATCTGGGTAGGGATGTGCTTTAATTTTATGACCATTTCCATTTGTTTAGCTGTTTCCTTCTGGGGATACAGTTCCTACAGTGCAATTCGGGTGACGTTTAAAAGATTCACAACCGTTCTTGGATGCTTTCTTTAATTAAACTTTATTTTCTTTGATTTCTTATTTGTTTGAGTATTTAGTCTGCATGTATGGCTGTGCACCACGAGCATGCAGTGCTTGCTGGGGCTACAGAAGGGCATCAAATTCCCTGAAACTGAAGATTGGTGGGTGCTATATGGGTGCTGGGAATCAAACTCCAGTCCTTTGGAAGAACAGCCAGTGCTCTTAATCTCTGAGCCATCTCTTCAGCCTGTAGATTTTTTTTTTTTTTAATCATCCTAAAGACATGCCGTGCCTTGTTGCAGTCATTCTCTAGCTAATGCCTTCACTGATCTCACCTGGAAGGGCATGGTGGAGTCCACCCCTCCCCCATCTGAAGAATGAATACGGCTCAAGGTGCCCTAGAATGCTCTTCTCACGTGTTGACCCGCCCTGTTTCCTAGTTATTGTATGTGCTTCCTGGCAAGAGACTTTTCTGGGACTCTGGGATTAGTACAGAGTCTGGCCCACAAGTGACACCCCTAACACTTGCTGGATGGAAGAATATACAATCAGTGAATGAAATGAATCCCAGTGTTTTGTGACTGCAAGCGGGACATTGTGTAGTTAGAGTAAATGTCATGCAGGGCATGTCTGGAGAACCTCAGGGCTCTGAGCGGCCCTTTGAGCCCCAGACAGCCTCTCACAATCAACTTTGTGGTGCGTTTTCATAGCTGAAGAGGACAGGGGCATCCATAAATAGACAGAGAAGACTCCAGATCATACTCACTTACTCCCTCATCTATTTGTATGCTATCCCTCTCTCATCTTTTGATGCCATAAGGGGCCCGCCAGTTTCTTATACTAAGTATTTTAGGAAGACAAAATAGGACAGAAGTGCAGATGGGCAGGGTAGCCTGCTGTTTCAGCAGCTGCACAGGGCAGGGCTTCACCTCCCTGGGGAGTCTAGAAGGAACATCTTCTCTGAGGGGAGTGGGGACTGGAATTTTCTCTGGGCTTTCTTCCCCATGCAGCATATTGCCCCAAGACAAGGAAAGAGGCCCCAGAGACTATTGGCCTTCAGCACAAGGGAGTAAAGAGCTCAGAGTATTGGGCAAAGTTTGAAAGTACATGAGAGTGGTGGTGTCTGGGGCGCTTTTGCTGCAGTAGGCTTGTGGAGAAGAGAAGAGATTGGGTTGGCTCTGAAGGTTCTTGCTTTCAATGCTCCTTTTTTTCTATGTGGCAAAGTAGGTGGACCTAGACTCTAGATCCCATAGGCTACTCCTGCCCCTGGTCCTCTGCTACTTGAATGTCTGGGACAGACACCAGGCAGCTCTGCTCCAGCCCTCACAGCAACTGCCCTTCCTGTTGCTTTGCCTCTAATGCTTCTGTGCTTGCCTCTCCCTGCTGCTCGGGACTGCCTTTCCACGCCAGAGAAGTGGTAAGACCCACATGTCAGCTGCGGGCTTTGGGGGATGGAGAGAGAGGCCTCTCTGCTCGCTTTGGTACCCTACCTGGCAACTTCCAACTGTGGAAATGAGGCTGCTGTGTGGTCAGCCCAGTTGCCCAGGGCTAGTGTGGAGGCTGAGGAGGATGCCAGTTTCTTCACATGGCCCTGTTGTCTGCACGTGTGTCTTTCTGGAAGTCTTGGGATCATAGGTGAACCTATGGAGGATGGGATTTAGAAGCAGGATCTTGCATCGTCGCCCAACCTCTCCAGTCTCCCATCATCTCTTTCCCAGCATCTAGGATAGCTCTGCCTAACCAATAAGCTGTTTGCACAGAGGCTTGGAGAATGAAGGACAGTTGCACAACAAGACAGGTGGTTCCTATGCTGAGAGAGGCACCAATTCCAGCTGTTTAAACAACGATAAGGATTCTCAGTGGGGACAAATCTCAAGTCATTAGGAAAGCTAACTCTCAAAAATGTCAGGAGTTGGAGGTTCTTAGGAGGGCATCCTATGGCAAGAAGTAGGCGACCATGCTGGGATAGGATCCTGGGGTCCGAGAATGAGGGTGCAGATCGGTCCTCAGTGAGAGCCCTTGAGGGTGCACCTGGATGGTAACACGTGGAAGACAGATCTCAGGGAACATCCTGTCATATAGGAGGCTGCGCTCATCTAACAAGGAGACTACGCTGCAGGGATGGGGCGGGAGGGGTGGTCTTGAGCAGGAAAAGTCATGGTGACAGAATGGAGACGTCTTCATGACTGCTTGAAGAAGGTGGCAGGAGGGGGCTGGATTTTAAAAGATTGTCTACATTTCAGGGCGAGAAGGGCGAGCCGGGTGCCATCCTGACCGGGGACATTCCCCTAGAGATGGTCAAGGGGAGAAAGGTAATTCTGTCACCACACCCTGCACTGGCTGGCCGTCTTTGGGTGTATCTTAAGCAGTGTTTTTGGAATGACAAGTGCCTATCTCCTGTTTTAGGGTGAACCCGGAATGCATGGCGCCCCAGGACCTATGGTAAGCTGGGTGTCACTCCACTGGGTTGCCACAAGGGTTCAAACCTTTATCATCCATCCTTTGGCTCACATAGTTGGGTTGTTCTACTTGTGAAAATAGAGAGTGATACAGTAACAGGTGGCAAAGCATGTGTCTGTGTTTGTGGGAGATGAGCTACAGTGACATAGAATTCTCAGTGGTTTCCAAGCCTACAAGAAATTCTGTCTCAAACAACAACAACAAAACATAGAGAGAAGAGAGATGGCTCCGTGGTTAAGAGCACCTGCTGCTCTTGCAGAGGACTCAGGTTCGGTTCCCAGTACCCAAATGTTGGATCAACTCTCCATAACTCCAGTTCCAGGGGACCTGGCACCCTCTTCTAGCTTCTGTAGGCACCAAGCACCCACTTGGTACACATACATACATGTAGGCAAAACACCCTTACATATAATAAGAAATAAATCTAAACAGGAACCAGCATGCCCCCAGTGGTTGAACACAGGAGTACCTCACTTCTCATTCTTACACAAACCACTGTGGCTGCTTCCTGCTGGACCTTCTCTCCTTCAAGCAGTGACTCCAGCATGTTCTGGATTCAGCATCACAAGAATTGTCTAGATGGCAGGCTAAGACCAGAGAAAGTGGAAGAGACCATAACGGGTAACCACCATCATTTCTACCAAGTGCCACTGGTCAGAACCCAGATTCTTGGGGCCTCATATAGGTAGCGTAGTTCTGTGTCCAGGAAATGGAACAGAGCAGGAGAGGATTTATAGATGCCAGGGAGCCCCAGAAGGAACCTGACAGAGTCCTGGGTCTGCTGCTCTGTTGTGATGGGACTGGGGCATGCCCTCCTCTCTCTCTCTCTCTCTCTCTCTCTCTCTCTCTCAGCTTCATTCTACCCATCTGTATGCTGAATGGATTGGACTCATGCTAGATAGTATTACATGCTCTTTGGTTTGGCTGCTCTAGAAAATAGACATTTGAACACTAATAAGCTATTTCTCGCAAGGATGAGCCTAAACTTCCCTATCATGCCTCCCACCCCAATGGAAGAAGGTCCAGGTGTGAATCACCACTGTAGCTCAGGTACTGTGTAAGCTTCCTACAGGACATCTCATTTCAGCCTTATAACCCGAAGTTGCGATCACATGACACCCTCACCCCCAGTCTATAGACGAGGAAACAGGGGTTCAAAGAGGATAAGTAATGTGTAAGAGAGGCCAATGTGTAAGGTTGAGGCCAACCTTGTATGTCCTATATCCGGACTCCCCCCCTTTACCCCCACCCCTCTACACAACTTCCAAAAGATAAGCTGCCCTTTATTTATTATTTGTTTATTTGTTTATTGGAGCACAGTGGGGTTTGTTTGGCAGAAGCTGGATCTCAGGCCTGGGGAGAAAGGTTGGCACTTACTTACGTGAACACCTCTGTGTTCCAAGCACGTCTTTCAGAAAACCTCCTGAGGCTTTGGGCCCCTGAAGTCAGGCAGAGAAGCCTGAATGTGGGGTACAAGGACTGAGAGTAAAGGCAGATGGGAGAGTCTTGCTCCCAACTGGTTAAGTGCTCAGTAACCTCCAGTTCTATGGGGAACGCAAACACTCAGCAGTGGGGCCAGCAGGCGGCTGCAGATGGCTATGCCGGGTGTCCCACTGAAGGCCAGCTTGTACGCAGCTTGCCAAGCACAGGCAGTAAGGCCACCTTTTAATTTGCATAATGCTTCCATCTGGGCTAACTGTGGCCCTAGAGACCAGCGTAGTTTACAACTCTTTTACAAATATGCTAAGGCTTCTAACTCAAAGTATGGTCTGTGGATCAGCATCCCCAACATCGCCTGGGAACTTGGCAAACATGCAGAGCTGTAGGCCCCAGATACCAGTCCAGACACACTTGATCTGGACGTTAATGAGACCCAGGACAATCTGTGTACATGCACACTTGAGACATGTTCCAAAGAACCACCCACAAAGTGGCCCGTGCCCTGGAAACTCCCTCTATTTTTGCTTTTCTCTTTCCTAAGAGTAATATAGACTGGGGATTTTTCAGAAAGACCCTGTCTCAAGGCATCTTTTAGGGCATACTATCTATGTTAATGGTGGTGGGCAGAGAGAGGAGCTGCCATTCTTCAGGCTTGAGCAGGCAAGATGATTCCTGCCAGGAGCTTGGTTAACGACAGTGACTCAAGAAGTATGTGGACCCGGAAAACCATCACTGAAATAGGATCCGTGGGTCAGGGACTCTGCAGGAGGACCAATGTGCAGTGCTTGAGGCTGGACCTCAAGGTGGGTAGGAGCAGGGCAGGCGCTCCATCCTGCAGCTGGTTCTTGTGGAAACTGGCATAGGGAGGGTCAGGACTACAGGATTCAGAACAGGGGACATGGGGACCCTGCACTGTATGATCAGTGCCACAGCTCCATACTCTGAGCCAGCCTAGCATGTGGCCACCTGGGACATGAGACAGTGAGCTGCTGCTTTCCTAGTCCGTTAATTCTGACTGAGGGGCTGGGTCCTGGGTGTGTAACCTTCAGAAAAGCTGTGGGATCTGAAGGGCTGAGCAAACACTTCTAGCTGAGAACAGGCAGGAGACCAGGAACCGGGCAGGTAAGTACCTTAGCATGGTTGCTCGGTTGCTCACATTCCTTCCTCCCTCCCCCCGCCTCCGTCTGGGTCCCTGCTGCACTGCCTACAAGAGCAAGCCCAGAAGTCCCATGTCTCTGGACCCTGGGTTTCTGGCATCTGCTAGCCTGGTGTTCATTTTGCTTCCAGGGACCCAAAGGACCACCAGGACACAAAGGAGAATTTGGCCTCCCAGGACGACCCGTAGGTATCAGAGTTCCCCAGACTAAAGAATGAGGCATGGCCCACAGCAAGAGCTCACTAAGGGGTCTTGTGTGCATCACAGGGTCGCCCAGGGTTGAACGGCCTCAAGGGTGCCAAAGGAGATCGAGGGATCATGATGCCGGTGAGTACCAGCTGCTTCCCTGTCTCTTAGCCTGGGGCTGGAAGACAGATGAGATTCTGTCAGAGGGGGTCCAGTAGCATGACATCCAGTGAGTGGGTTCGCAGAATACATGTTCAGGAGTGCTTTCTTCATCCTTTCACCCCCCCTCCCCAAGATCATCACACATGGCCTTGCCCCCACCCCCTCATGAGGGTCCTGACCCACCCAGATCTCTCCAGTCTCCCCATGCAGACACCAGATGGAAGGGAGAAGGAAGGAAGAGATCTGAGCATCCTAGGACCCTGTGTGTCCCTCTTCCCTCCTGCACACAGGCCCAGGAAGTGCAGATCTTAACCAAGCATTGCTCTGGGAACCAGAATCTGGGTTCCAACTTCAGTTTTCTGTAAGCTGTTATGTGGTTTTGAGCAGGTTGTATCCCCTCTCTGGGCCTCATTATTTGTGGGTGTCGACCAGGATGACACAGCTGCTCTGCTGTCTCCCTCATGGTTTTCTGGCATCCTTCAGTGTGGCCCAGATGTGGAGGTGCTCTGTGGAAGGGGCTAGCAGACCTGAGGCGGGAATCTGTCGTCTTCCAATGCTCCTCCCTCCCCAGCTTCCAGCCCAGAGTGTGTGGCACGTCCTGAAGTTGCCTTTGACTCCCACAACCCCAAACTCAATAGCAGCTTTTCTTTTCTTCCTTTAGGGCCCACCTGGCCTACCTGGACCTCCAGGGCCTCCAGGACCCCCGGGAGCCATGGTTAACATCAAAGGCGTAAGTGGGGATAGGCTTTGTGGGGGAGGCTTTCCTGGGGGCCAAGCACCAGACTGGCCTCAGCTGGGGCCAGCGGTCCTGATGGCTTTAGCTTTCATATTCTCTTCCCACAGGCTGTCTTTCCAATACCTGCCCGGCCACACTGCAAAACACCAGTAAGTAACATGCCTGAGTGTCTTTGCCACTGGTAAAGGTAAGGCACCAGGGTAAGCACTGGTGCCAATTCAGAGAAGCAGATCCATCTTGCCCTGGGTACTTTCTGTCCCTGTATGCTCACTCTGATATCTTCCACCCGCAAATGGACCTTTAAAGTTCTGGAAGTTTCTAGACAATAGACCCTGGTAATGAAATACCTGCACACTGGCTTGTTTGAATATGATTGGTACAGCTAGCTAGTGTTCTGTTAGAGGAGCAAAAAAATGCTGGGAACTTGGGGCTGAAACTGTAGCTACTCTGTTCCATCCTTCCTGAGGATTGCATTACTGCTCATCATACCACCCCAAGAGGCAGGTGTTTTTTCTCCCCACCCCCACCCTTCATCACGGGAAGGCAACTACCCACAGAAGCTCTCTGGCTAGCCCAAGGTCACAGGGCACGGGGCAGCTGAGACCACAGCTCAGATCTCCCGGTCACTAGGAAGCAGGTGCAGGCACTGTGATCCCTTGCCCAGCCCCTCCCCCCACCAGGCAGTTGGCAGCACTGTCTCTAGGATTTTGCTAGTATCATAGAGAGACATTTATTTCTGTGAGGAAACACGGGGACAGGCATGAGTCATGGATCTGTGAGTAATCATCCTCGCATTCATTCAGTAAATATTTACTGAGCTCTCACCAGTGCCAAGGACTCTGCTAGGCCCTGGGGACACAGGAATGACCTAGACAGACGTGGTCTCTGCTTTCTGGAGTTTTCAAATTATCATTTCCAAATATTCTTTGAAGTGGGCTTGAAATGATTCCTGTGGGGATGGCGATGGTCTCTGATGTTCTGACCGATGCAGGCTGGCTGGCTGGCTGTGTGCTGCCCTAGGCTTATGTCCAAGTTTGACCTTTGAGGCATCCAAGTGGGCGTCCAAGTACACTGGCTGGAAGGCAGAGCATGGGATCCACCCGGGTACCGTGCTGAAGCTGCATTGAGTCCAACAGCACCACCAAGAGCGTGTTTACACAGATGATTGTGAGGAGGCAGCTGGTCCAAGTGCCGCTTCTGCAGACACTCCAAGAAAGCTGGGTACCATCCCCTCCTACGGGGGCTGTAGGCTGCCTGCCTCCCACTGCCTGTGAGGGTTGCAGGGCCCTCCTCCCCATGCAGAGCTCAGCCTCAGTACCACCTCCCACAAGCACAGACCTGATGCACCAGGTATGGGACAGCCTGCCACAAACTTTACAGGGCTGTGGGAATTCTATTACAGTTACATGACCTATGCTGGGACCTGTGTAATCGAGACACTCTGGAGGGGGCAGGGACTTCACAGAGTGAAGTCAGTGCTAGGCTCAGAGTGTTTGGAGCCTTGTTTTGTTTTACCCGTGGGGCTTGGAGGCACGGATGTTTCCCACCCAGCCCTCAAAGCAGACACTACCAAACAGAGACGTGGTCAGCATTTTGCAAGTACCTTCCGATTCCAGCTGTTTAACGTCAAGACAGCTTACACCCCTGCCATGCAGCTTTACCAGAGTCTGCAGTGGTCATTCTTTCTTTCTTTCTTTTTTTTTTTTTTTCTGGAAGGTTTCTTCCTCCTCCCAACATGTTTTCATGATGACCCTTAAGCAGCTTGCATTCTCTGCTCATCAACACAGAAAACTCCTGAATCCAGGAGGAACACTGTCCTTCTGCTGGGGAAAGGCTGTGGGTGGAGCAGAACGGTTACCTTTAACTGTTGATCTAGCACCGTCAAGAATCACTCCAGAAGAGGGTCCAGACTGTCCAGACACAGGCCTGTGTGGGGAAGATTAGCTATATTACCTAAACCAAGGCAGGAAAACCTGGCCCACGGTGAGCAGAACCATCCCCAGGAAAGAGATTCTAAGAGTGGAGAAAGTGAGCTGAGCACTTGCATGCATACATTAATTCATTGCTCTCTGCTCTTCGCTGTGGATATAATGTGACCAGCTGTGTCCTGGCAATGCCACCTTGACTTCTTAGCCATGACAGATGTAACCTGGACCTGTAAACCAAATAATTCCTTCCTCCCGTAAGTTGCTTTTGCTAGGGTTTCTTGTCACAGTAACAAGAAATGAAGCTAAGCCAGGGAGTGTTAAACAGTGTTATCCAGAACTGCCTGGATTTTAGACCCCTGTCACTAGTGAGGAGTCCATATTAGCCCCTCCAATCCAATGACAGCCCTATTATTGAGCACTGCCAGGACTTGTGCCCATGCCTGTCTTTGATTACACTCAGTAGCAGAACAGACGCCTGGCCCAGCTTCATTGCTGGCTCAGAGCTGGCTTGGACACTGGCCACACACATGAGCCGGTCCTAATTGATAAGAAAGGAGGCCAAGATGCTCAGCACTGTCCAGTGCTATCACTAACGCTGTCTGAGAGCCTTGGGTTTCCCTTTTGCTGAGATTTTTGGCCAGAAGTCTGGATGCTGTGTACTCGAGGCCAGCTACATCATGGGTTCCCCAAATGAGGCCTGCGATGTCTGTGTTGAGGGTGCTGGGGAACCTGGGGCTCCAGAGCCAAATAGAAGCCTGGTTCCATGTTGTTTCCTCCTCTGCAATGTGTCCCCAGGACTGTGACTTCCCGGACAGATGCTGGGGCATGGCTTCCTATGTCTGACCAGGTCTTTCTCTCTCCACAGGTTGGTACTGCTCACCCTGGCGACCCAGAGCTGGTCACTTTCCACGGTACACATTCTTTTCTTCACTGTATTTTTCTGGGACATTCCAGACCTCATAGCTGGAGGTGTTCACATATGTCTAGCACTGGCCACAGATAAGGTGGCCAGGAAGGGCTTCCTGGGGGAGAGGTGGCAGCTGAGCAGTGCAGCACACCTCGTCTGCTTTCCTCATGTTACCTGTGTGCCTACCGGATAGTAGCTCCCTTTGCCAATTCCTCTGCCCATGTTTAGAAGACATTGGTGGGTGCCTGTTTGGTACTGTCCCATGCTGCTCCTGCCTCCTTAGGCCTTAAGATCTGTCAGGTGTCAGGAACCATTAAAACTAATTATAGGACAGAAAGGATGGCCCTGCTGGTAGAGGCAAGGCACGAGGTCCTGAGTTCACTCCCCAGAGCCCACATCTAAAATAATAATATTAACTGGGTTTGGTGCTTTGTCCTTGTAATCTCAGAACTGGGGAGACAAAGATCCTGGGAGCTTACCGGCCACCACAATACTCTGCTTACTGAAACCCAGGCCAGTAAGAGGCCCTGTCTCCAAAAACAAGGTGAAGGACACTGGAGGAATGCCAGCTAAGGGCGTCCTCTGGTCTTCACACACATTTGCACAGATGGGTATTGTACCTGTACACACACACACACACACACACACACACACACACACACACACACGAGAGCTCAGAAGACCATTACCTTAGTGTGCTCACATGAGCATCTCCTGGAAGCGTGTTTGAAATGCAGAACTCCCGGCCAGGGTGTAGCTCAGTGGCAGAGCACTCCTCCAGCATGGGTGAGTCCTTAGGGTTTGATTCCCGTGCCTTGAGGGGAGGGTGAGCCAAGGCATGGAGATGCACACCTATAATCCCAGCACTAAAGAGGCTGAGGCAGGAGGATCACAAGTTCAAGGTCAGTATCTGCCCTACACCTGTCCACCAGAATCTGCATCGTCCTAGCCTCCAGATGGAGCGGTGAGAACCCTTGTTCAGTGTGTGCATGGAGCAGGGTGGGGGCTGGGGAGTGGAGAGAGGGTGGAGGAGAGTTAAATGTTAGCATGCTCAGCCTCTCGAAAGCATACCGCAGAGGGACAGGCCCGTAAGAGGGCAGCCGCTCTAATCCTCTCCCACCCCAACACCTTGGTACCCAGCGTCAAACACTCACAGCTTAAAGGAGAAAAAGCCTTTCTTTTTCCGCAGTCCCCTGCAGTTTGGCCACCTGGCCTGCTAGGGTCTCCCTAATAGTGTTTTCCCTGTATTCTCCCATCACTTCGGTTGCCAAGTCCAGGCCATTGTCCTAACTTTGGTGCTCAGACCTGCTCCAAAGTCTCTTTCTCCTTGGTGCCAGGTGAGCCTTCTTTTTGCGCCGTTTTGCTGTCATTTGAGACGAGGTCTCTCTATGTGGTTCTGGATGGCCTGAAACTCACTATGTAGACCAAACTGATGAACTCATAGAGATCCACCTGCCTCTGCCGCTTGACAGCTGGGATTAAAGGCGTGATTACCACTGTGCCTTTGGCTTATTTTATAATTTACATTATGATATGTATTATGATTTATGTTATTTGGTGGGGGTGGTAGGCCTTGGGCAGGAAGGGGGGCCGGGTTTGCCTCCTCAGACCCTCGGGTGTTCCCTGTCCCACAAGGCTCCCATGGAAGGTAGGGAAGGCACAGGCGAGGCTTCTTGGATGTACTAGCCCTGGTGAGAGGTGGTATTCCATAAGTATGTCTTCGTGTGACTGTTGCCTCTCAGGGGAGTACCTGTGGTTTCCTGCTAGCTATGTTCTTCTCCTTCACCACTGACCGTGGCCTCGTTGGGAACCAACAACCCTCTGCCTCAGTCTCAGTGGAACCCAGGGCTTTGTGGCTGTACTTCCCTGTCGCTCCCTAGAAGGCTCCATCACATCTCTGGTGCTCCTGGCCCTCCTCCCACACTGAGGAAGCCTGTGCCTACAAACCTTATGACACTGTCTCTAGACTAGAGAACATTGGAAGATTTATCTGCTGCACCTTTCATGAACTGGGAGGGCTCATATGGACCTTTAGTCCCCATCAAGGGTAAGGAAAGAGGTGTCTCCCCTCCCCAAACACTGCTTTTCTATAAGCCTCCCTCATGCCTCTCTCCTGTGAGGAGTAGAGGAAATGGTGGGTGTAGAAGGCCAGCCCCTCAGACTCATTGTTTCCTGTCACTCAGGGAGGCATGTGACCCACTGGGTGTACATTCCCTCCGCCAGCTGTGTCAGTGAATGACTCAGCCTCCTTAGATGCACTGTGCCGTTCATCGCCCCTGGGAAATTTGTCTGCTTTTCAGGACACCAGGCTGTACAGGCCCCAGGGGAGATGAGAGGAGACCTGAGTGGGACTGTCAGTCTGCACTCATAGGTTGTCCCAAGGGAGTGCGAAGCTTGGTCACAACAGCCCCTGCTGGGCTGAACCCTTTGTCCCTCCTCTCTGTGACAACACTGCATGACTGTGAAGTGGGTCAAGATCTGGAAACCTGTTTGACTCAGGAATCATGTTCCTCCCACTCTCTTCCCTACAGAGATCTTCTGGTTTGATGGATTTTGCTAAGGGAGTTAGCTCAAAAACTTGATTTTCCACAACCTTTTTTTTTTTTTTTTTTTTTTTTTTTCCTTTTTCTTAAATGTGTGTGTTTGGTGACAGGTGTTAAAGGAGAAAAAGGGTCCTGGGGTCTTCCTGGCTCAAAAGGAGAAAAGGGGGACCAAGGAGCTCAAGGACCGCCAGGTATGCCTGCCCCTACTCTAGGCTTTGCTGAGTCAGGCTAACCACACAGCCACCCTGCCCACAAGCACTGTGGGTTCTAGTGAGAAGGCCGGACATGTCCAAAGCAGAACATTGTCAAGGTAGTCCAAGGGCTGGGGCTGAAGGTACAGTGCTTTCCTAGTATGCTCAGTATGCTACAGGCGGGGAGAGGGAGGGACTGACTTTCAAACGTTCTTATGTAAAATACGGCCTAAAGAGAATCAGGGGCTTTCCCAGGATCCTACAGTCCAGCTTAGTTAGGGCTTGATTGGGCCTGGAGAGCCCAATCCAAGCCTAGCGTCAACCCTAAACACTAGTTTGGTGTCATTCTTACTAAGACGGGCGATGGTTACTAATGTGGGGAACTCTTTGAAGCCTCTGCCATTACGGTAGTGGCCTTACACAGCATCTCTTCTTCAGGCCCTCCAGTTGATCCAGCTTACCTGAGACACTTTCTCAACAGCTTGAAGGTGAATATTCATGACAAACGTTTGGTCTGTTATCCTAGTCTGTTTGCTGTTGCTAGAACTGAATACCACAGGCTGGGTGACTTGGAAGGAAGAATGGTTTCTCTGGCACACGGTTCTGGAGGTCCAGTAACTATACTGGTTGGGATTCTGCAGAGTCAGGAGGTTAATATGCCAGAGGGTCTGCTTTTATAGCAACTCCACTCCCTAGAGCACGCATTACTCCTTAAACCCAAAGTCCTTACTTCTCAGTGCCATCAACATAGGAGTTTGGGAATGACATTCCCAACAGGTGGAATGTTCTGTTTCCAGTGCCCCCAACTGAAACCATGGCAGCCTGTGCCTCAGTTTCTCCAGTTTCTGTGAGAAAGGGTTCAGGCCAGTCTTCCTGCAACTGCCCATGGTCTCTCTTCCAGGGGGAGAATGGAGATGCAGCATTCAGAAGAGAGCCCACCAACAACCTTTTTGTGTCTGGGCCTCCAGGCCTACCAGGACATCCAGGCGTGGTTGTGAGTAGCGACTCTCTGGGGGACCTGTGGCTTTTCCTTGCCCTGCCGCTAACATGAGTAGGTGGTTCTACAGTTGAAGCCAGTGCCCTAAGCGCTGGAGGCAGGACTTCATGGTGAGCAGGCTCTCCCCATGTGTGGTTGATTGGTGGGAGGTGAACTCAGTCGTTAGAGCTGCCCAGGCTGTGTACAGGGACTGAACCCCCAGCACCAGCCATGCATGCTGTTCACTCTGTGGACAGAGCTATCAATAGTGAAGGGGAATCTTAGAGGACAAACGGAAGGTGCCCGCAATGTCTCCAGAAGGTCTCTTTGGTTCTTCCAATGCTTGACTGAAGGTAGAGCTGACCCACAGGCCTGGTCTTTGTAAATGGAAGGTCATTTAGCCATGAGAGAAGATCAAGGTTTGCCCCAGGTTTCTGACCTAACTTGACTGTGACTGGAGGCAAGTTGTCTCCACTCTGAAGGCTCAGTTCCTCCTTATGTGAAGTGAGAAGGCCAGACTGGATCTCCCAGTCCCTCTGGATGCCTGGGCTCGCTTGTATCTGAGCTGCTGCCTGCTGGGGCTGCCACCACCTGGAATTAGTATGTTTTACAAACATCTTCATGAAAGAAGAGATTTCTCCATGACTATGTTTTGGCCTTGACAGGGACAGAAAGGAGAGGCTGTCGTCGGGCCCCAGGGGCCCCCAGGGGTTCCAGGCCTGCCTGGACCCCCTGGCTTTGGGAGACCTGGTATTCCTGGACCACCGGGACCTCCTGGGCCACCAGGACCTCCTGCCATTCTGGGTGCAGGTTAGTACTGAGTGGTGGTGCCCCGTTCCTGCTGCCTCTGCCTTTGTGCTCATGGCGACACGTGAGAGTCTCTGTGTAATAGAGGCTTGTATGCTGGATGGACCCTATCTTCTTTTCGTCTTTAAAATGGATATAATTCAGATATAATAACATACACCTACTGCAAGTGTACAGTGTTCAGTAATGTTGAAGGTATTCACAAGTTTTACAGACAGCAGATTGCTTAATTCTAGACATTTCGTCTCACCCGAAAGAAGTCTCATGGAATGGGGCTAAAGCTCAGTGGTAGAATGTGCAGAAAGCCTTAGGTTTGATCCCCAGAACTAAAAAAAGTAAAAAAGAAGGAAGGAAGAAAAAGGAAGGAAGGAGGAAAAGAGGGAGGGAAGGGAGGAGGAAAGAAGGGAGAGAGAAAGAAAGGAAGGGAAAGAAGGAAAGGAGAAAGGAAGAAAGAAAGATTGATTTTTGCAACAAGCAGTTACACTCCAGATCCACTTTCTGCCCTGGATTTTCCTATTCTGGACATTATATATAAACTATATGTACTGCCTAGTTTTGTGTCAACTTGACACAGGCTTGAGTCATCTGAAAGGAAGGAACATAAATGGAGAAAATTATTAATATCTGATTATAATGCATTTTCTTAATTAATGATTGATGGGGGAGGGCCCAGCCATTTGAGTGGGGCCACTCCTGGGCTGCTGGTCCTGGGTTCTGGAAGAAAGCAGGCTGAGCAAGCCAGGGAGAGCAAGCCAATAAGAAGCACTCCTCTATGGTCTCTGCATCAGCTCCTGCTTCCAGGATCCTGTCCTGCTTGAGTTCCTGCCCTCACTGTTTTGGATAATGAACTGTTATATGAAACTGTGAGTGAATAATCCATTTCCACCCCAAGTTGCTTTTGGTCATGGTATTTCATCACAGAAATAAAAACCCCAACTAAGATGCCATATAAACGGAGTCATACAATCTGAGGCCTTTTATGTCTGTTTCCTTCACTTAGCATCATGTTGTTAAGGTTTGTCCATGCTGTAATATGTTTCAGCACTTTACCCCCTTTTCTCTGACCAAAGAATATACCCATATTATATATTTGTGTGTATATGTATTATACACATATGTATATATGTATATACATGTACATATACACACACATATATATATATATATATATCCAGCATGTGTGGTTACACCATTTCAGTCCTGATGGCTCTGAGGTGCTAACTCACTGTGGTTCTCTGAGTTTCCCTAGTGAGTACTTGTGTTGAGCACCTTTTCACATATTCTAGAACCTTCTTGGCTGTTTTTCCAATGCCTTGAGAATCTAGCTGTCCTAGTTAGGGTTACTATTACTATGATGAAACACCATAACCAAAAACAAGTTGGGAAGGAAAGTGTTTATTTGACTTATATTTCTATGTCACTGTTCATCAGTGAAGGAAGTCAGGACAGGAACTCAAACAGGGCAGGAACCCAGAGGCAGGAGCTGATGCAGAGGCCATGGAGGGGTACTACTTACTGGCTTGCTCCTCATGGTTTGCTCAGCCTGCCTTCTTCCAGAACCCAGAACTACCAGACCAGAGATGGCCCCACCCACAATGGGCTGAGTCCTCCCACATCAATTGCTGATTAAGAAAGGGCCCTACCAGTTGTATACAGTCCAATCTTATGGAAGCATTTTCTCAGCTGAGGATCTCTCTTCTTGGATGACTTTAACTTGTGTCAGGTTGATGTAAAACTACCCAGCACACTGGCTTAAGGACCAGTGCTAATTGTCCCTCTTGGTGTAGAATTCCAATCAGCCCTTGGTATTTCTAGAGTACAAATGCAAAAAATGAGTTATCCATTCATTGAACAATACCAAGTACCAGGAAGTTTGTTCATCCCTTGACTACAGTTTTCTGGTAATTCGAGAAAAGTGATAGTGAGGCCTGGGGAAGTAGCTCAGTCCTTACAGTGCTTGTCATTCTAGCATGAGGATTCAAAGTCTGCAGAACTTATGCAAAACAGTGGTGCACACTTATAATCGCAGAAAGGTGGAGACAAGAGGACTCCTGGGGCTCACTGTCAGCCAGCCTGGTCTAATTGATGAGCTTCTGGCCATTGAGAAACCCTGTCTTAAAAACAGAAAACAGGTTCACCAGAGAGGGACTAACACCTGAGGTTGTCCTCTGACCTCCACATACCCTGAGTATGTGTGCGTGTGCAAACACGCACCTCTGCTGCACACATACACACACACACACACACACACACACACACACAGGAAGATGACCAGTAGCCTCATTTTACAGCTACTAAGTGGTACCCATGGATCAGAGCCCACATGTCCATAGCTCCAAGGCCTATGCTTTTCCTAATGTGCACATGGTGGATGTTCTATGCTGAGCAATAAGATGAACATCCCTAGTCTCAAAAGCTCAAAGTTTGAAGTACTATGGTACCCAAACTTTATGAGTACTGGCATGGTGCCACAGATGGAAACTCTGGACCCTGAGACTGTTTAGTGTCAAAAATTATTGTTTAACACAGTGAGGCATTTCTCCAGCATACCAGAAGGTCCCAAATCAAGCCCCAGAATCACAAAATTAATAAGTAAAATACATCTTACTTTAGTTTATGATGCTGGCCCTAGCCCTAAGATTTGTCATGTATAGGTAAGTATTCTAAAACTAAAACAAACAAACAAAACCTCCAAAACTTCTGAAACACACGCTCATCCAGTAGCATCAATAAATGCAGGGGCATTTCTTGCTGGTTACATTGGCATGAGCCAGGTATGGTGGAACACACCTGGTAGAGACCCACAGAGCCTGGGTGTCAGGCATAGCTTTTCAAAGGGTGGCCTTGGGGTTGGCTTTGACATGGCCTTGGATCTTCTGGTTGAAAGCAGAAACAAGGCTCAAATCAGGCTGAAAGAATGGGAAGTTTGCCGGCTGGAAGGAGGGGCTGTGGAATCAGTTTGTGGGATGAGTAGACTGGGAAACTGGAACCCATGAACAGCTGGAACCTAACCCTACACCACGTAAGGATGCTCTGGCCATCTCTTGCCTCTCTCTGTGTACCAGCTTAATGCTAGCTCTCCACAACCACACCCTGGGCACAGAGGGCAGGATGGTTGCTGACAGCTTATGGCTTCCACTGTGAGCTGGAAATCATGAGCTTCTTTCTCAACTTTAGTCTGAAATGTCTAGGGATAGGACAGTTCCAGGAAAAGATTCTAACTGGCCTGTCTTGAGCTAGGTGCCAATTTTGGACCAATCATCCACAGTCAGGAGGTAGGACCACCTGAAGACATAGTAGCTTTTTCTGTAAGGAAATGGTTGTGGGTATGAAGGGAAAGACCTCAAGAGAAGACTCTAAGGACTTTGATCATGCAAAGATGAGAGCTGGGTAGATAAAACCAGATGATGGATGAACAGGCACTGGAGGAGATACAGGGGTTTGGCAGGGTGAGCGCAGGGTGCAGAGACTTTGTGGCCCACAGAAGCACCACATCAGGGGATCCAGATACCTTCCTGCATTGAGCAGGGATTGCCTTTCACATAATGTATGACAGCTCATGTTTATAAAACATTGGCATAGACCCGATACACATGGTCTTCCCGGCAATGCTACAGGGAGACGAAGTTGGGTGTTATTATAACTCCAAGGAGGGAGACACTGAGGCTCAGAAAGGACGGAAGTCTTGTTCAAGGTCATTCATGCTTGGGGAACACATGGCTGGAACCCAAATCCAAGTCCTCCCCTGACCCCGCATCCACTGGCCGCTTGCCACCTGTGTGTGGACAGTCAAGCCAAGCTGAAGACTCACCCGCAGTGACCTGAAGAATCAATGGAGTCGTTTTCCGGGACCTTACAGAGACATCCTGACCTCCGCCAAGAGCTCTGCACATGCTGAAGGGGATGGGTTCAGAGAGGCAGAAGGAAAACAAAGGGGAAATCCAAATACCTCTCTGCCTGAGGCAGGGACTTTTTAACTGGAGACTCATGCCCCCTCATGGGGGGTGGGGTGGATCTTGAGCTGATTTTTAAGGGTTCTGTGACACTACAAGAACCAAGAAACCCTGGGCAGTTTGCAATGTGCATGCCTAGCCTGAACATCACTGGTCCTCTCCAGCATGCCCATAGAATGTTGTCATAGAAGGGGTGTCTCCTAGAGTCTGGCAAACAGCTTTTGGGAGCCTACTGCTACCTTAAAAGTACAGCTGGCAATTGGCAACCTGGTCTCTGTCTGGCCCCAAGACCAGCGCTCCTGTCACTACTGGCTCAGTGTCTTCCCACAGCCCAGCCCTGTCTCTTCCTCTTTGTGGCCCACTTCCTCCGATGGGTGGTCACATGCTTTGTCTCTTGAAGGAGTGTTGAGTCAGGGTATTTTCAGGTACGTGACAGAAAATTGGACTCAAACTGGCTTTTACCAATCACCACCCATGTGACTTACTTACAGTCCTGACATGTCATCCAGGGTGATGGTAAAGAATGTGAGGCCAGTCAGTATGGCTTTAATCTCTTGCTGGGCCCAGAGTACAGGTGGACAGCCCACAGCATAAAAGGGACCTTGAGCGCCCCTCTGGGAGTCAGCGGGGACCCCCTGTAGCAGACACTATGCTTTATGCAACTGCCCTCTTTTTTTATTCTCCCAGCTGTGGCCCTTCCAGGCCCACCTGGCCCTCCAGGACAGCCAGGACTTCCCGGATCCAGAAACTTGGTCAGTATCTTGGGTAGTAACCACTCCTGCCTTGGGTAGGTTCACTTCAGACTCAGGCAGGCTGCAGTGTTTTGGTGGCACGGAGGAGGCTGGGGATGGGACTAGAACACCTTTTATTTTGGAGTTAGTACTCTCCCATGGGCTGACGATGTACTTCCGTTGGTAGACTGCTTTTCTAACACGGAGAAGGCCCTAGGTTTGCTCTCTAGCACCAGGTGAAACCAGGCATGGTGGCACATGCCTCTTGTCCTAAAACTTAGGAGGCAGAGGCAAGTGGATCAAAAATCCCGGGGTTCAGCTGGAGCATGGCCCGTGTGCATTCACTGCCCCGCAGTGTACTGTAGTAGGATAGGTTGCTGGGTTGTTACAAAGCTCAGAGAGATGGGCCGATGCCCACCAGACTGTCAGCAGTCCTCCAAGCCTCCTTGGTGGCTACTGGGTCTCATTTTTAAAAAGACTGACTTTCAAAAGACAGAAGTTTCCAGCAGATGACAAAATCTGGCTATTGGGGGAGTTTCCATGCCATTTTGATGAATATTATTATCATCAGGGTGAGACAAGTTATTTTTTTTTTTTGTATTTTTTTTTTCTCAGTTTCAATGAGATCCTCGGCTGATAGTTCCTTGAGACTTGATGCTGCTATTCAGAATATTTTTTTTGCAGCTTCAGCTTCCTGAATCTGCTTCTAGATATGCTAAACGGCTGCCATTCTTATTTTAGGCAACTTTTGAGACAGAGACGCTGGAAGCCCCCGGTTTTTAAACACATATTTAATATTGCAGCCATCCAGCTAGACTAAAGACTAAGTGCTAAGTATAATTGCCCACTTGCTTGCATTTCGTATCCCAAATGAAAATGAATTTGAAAGTCACCAAGGAATGTGAGATGATGCCATTAGCCAATGTAGATGTTACTACAGAGCTGTGTTAAAAAATCAATGCAAGTGGCAAAAAAAAAAAAAAAAGCAGTGTACTGATGATTTTGCTAAAACCAAAACTCAGCAAAGACGATTCTGTTGCTACATCTTTATCTTCACAGGAAATTATCATTTGTGTTTTTATTCATTTTTTTTTTATAATTTAGACTTGTGGTTCAAAGCAATGCGTATTTTCATTTCATGGAAAAGAACTCCCTTAGCCAAGCACGATAGCACACTCTTGAAATCCCAGCACTCAGGGGGCTGATGCAGACGGATTGTGAGTTCAAGGCATGTCCTGGCTACTGAGCAAAAACTTGTCACAAAAGCCTAGGGGCTGAGGAGACAGATCAGTGGGGAAAGCGCCTGCCACACAGGCATGGAGGTCCCAGCTCAGACCCCCAGCAGCCACTTTAAAAACACATCTGTAAACCTGGTGCTAGGGGAGTGGGAGCAGAGACAAGCCATCAGAGCTTGCCGGTTGGTACATCCAGTCGGTTAGTGCTGGGCTCAGTGAGTGACCCTGTCTCAAAAGATAAGGCAAGCACAAGTGATAACAGAAAATACCATGTCTATCTCTGGCAGCCAGGGTCTGATGATGTAGCTCAGTGGTGGAGCCCTCGCCTAACATGCACAGGCCCTGGCTTTGAGCCGAAACCCTGAAAACAAAGCTTAGTTCTTAGTAACATATCACTGTCCAACGCAACAAAGCCTTTTTCTCAGATGCGGGTTACTTAGAGAAGGGTGGGCGGGTGCATCACATTCTGCCACATCTTAGTAACAGCTTGGAATTTACAATGACCTGACAGGTCACGGCGCTCAGCGACATGGGTGACATGCTGAAGAAAGCACACTTGGTCATAGAGGGGACCTTCATCTACCTGAGGGACAGTGGGGAGTTCTTCATCCGTGTCCGGGACGGCTGGAAGAAATTACAGGTAACTCTTGGCCTTCCTTCACAGCCCCTTTCCCTACAGGCACCCTCCGACGTAAACTCAGCTGTTTCATTTGCAGCTTCCTCCTTCTCTTGCAGTTGGGAGAGCTGATCCCCATTCCTGATGACAGCCCCCCACCACCAGCGCTGTCCAGCAATGTGAGTGCTCCCCCTGCCTGCTCCCTGGGCCCCGCCCCCACGAGCCTGCACCAAGCACTCGAAGCCCAGCCTGCTCTGGGTGACTTAGCACTAGTGATTATAAAACAGCACATTATCACCACAGAGTGAAGGGTGGAAACCTCTGTTCCAAACTTATCCACGTTACCTAGAAGAATCCTTTCCTCCCTCCCTCCCTCCCTTCCTATTCTCCCTCACTTACATTTTGAGACAAGATCTCACTAGTCATCCTGGCTGGTCTGGAACTCACAGAGATCCACCTGCCTCTGCCTTCTAAATGCTGAGGCTAAAATCGCCACACCTGCCAGGTATAATAGAGGTAGGTAACTGACACAGTCTGCTGAATTCTATTGCAGCCCTTTGAGGATGCTACCACCACCCCATTCTTCAGGTTATAAAGCTCAACCTTTGAAAAGGCAGACCTGTTGGCTTTTAAGCAGAGATCCTCTGCTTCCCTGGCACAAGGGTCTTAACGATCTCGAGGACACTACCCCCCTTGCTGAGGACTTATTCAGTTGGCCACTCCCAACTTAGGAGTCACAGTTACAGGCAATGCCCAACTATTGAAAGCATCATGCTGACTCCCACCTCATTGCACTCTGGAGAACAGACTAAGTGTGTATTCGTACTTTAACCTTTCCCCTTTCGTGTCACAGCCGTACCAGCCACAGCCTCCACTGAACCCCATTCTAAGCGCCAATTATGAGAGGCCTGTCGTAAGTACAATTCATCCGTTTCCCTTACAGATAACAAGTGAGTACGCGTAAGTGCTAAGCCCTGTGTTTGACATCAAGGCCTCTTTAAGAATTATTTATTTCACAGATATGAGTGTTTTTGTCTACATGCGCACCATATGTGTGCCTGACGCCTGTGGAGGCCAGAAGAGGGAATCATAGCCCCTCTAACTGGAGTCACAGACAACTGTGAGCCAATGTGTGGGTGCTGGGAATTGAATCCCAGTTCTTTGCAAGAGCAGCCAGAGCTCTTAACTGATAGGCTACTTCTCCAGCCCTGGAGAGGGTGCTTACAAACTGCTTACAAACTAGCCCAGAGGGCACACACCCAAGGTAGACAGGTGTATCACCGTGTGCTAAGCTATTTGAATGAGGCAAACACAAGATGCTGGGATTACCAGAAAGATAAGGGAATTCACTGTGGAGGAGGAGACCTCTAGATTCAGACCTAAAGGACACTGTAGTTCAGGAGTGAGTCAAGGCAGGGAACAATAAAAGTAGGAATTCTGGTCAGAGGGGAACAGGGAACGTGGGAGAGTAAGGGGCTGCTGCCTCTCCCTGTGCTGTACTTCAAACTGCCCTGAGGCGCAGACTGCACAGTAAAGGAAGAGGTTTAGGCTGCAGAAACCACCATGGGCCAGAGATAGGGAGTTTGACCCTTTCCTGCAAGCCATGGGAGCTGCTGATGAGTTGAAAGTGGAACAAGGGTGTGTGGTAAGACTGGTGTTTTGAAATGCCTTTGGTTTGAGCATGCAAGTGGGTGAGAAAGGGCGCGAGTAGGGGTGCGAAGCAGTAAGCTGTAGAAGATGGCTGCTTGGAGGGCTATGAAGAGACAGGAGAAGCCAGTTTGGTCACCTTTGCATGTGCTGCCATGAGAAGGAGTGAGATCAACGATGATGGCCAAATTCCCACCGGGGTGACTCAGTGGCCACAGGCTGCCATCCAGGCATCATCTGACATGGTAGGGATTTCAGACTCACCCCACTCTTTCTCTAGTGTAAATAAAGCTCATGCCCCAGTCACTCTGCGAACTTCATAGAACCTGATGACAAGAAGTACAGCCTGGGGCCTCTCTTCCATGCTCTTGGTCGCTTTGCTATTTCCACAGGACCCCTTGTGTAAGAGTTTCTCTTGTCCCAGGCTTGCCCCACCCATGAAGGCATGGTCTGCGTGAGCCTGTGCACAGCTGTGGGCTGCCTCAGCACCATCTTGTGTCCTAACTCTCTTACCTTATGGCTACAGAGCCTGATCCACTCAGTTCAGAGTCTTGGGAGAAGCAGTCTCCATGCTCTATCTTAGATCAGTTTCTCATTTCCACTCCAATGAAGAGCAGGCAAAAGACAGGTTCAAAGGCTTAAGGCCTTCAAAGAGCAAGACATGAGCCACACAGCACAGACATATGCTTTCTGGAATGCTGACACCTAAAGAGAAGACCTTGGGTTCAGCAGAGTAAGTCTGCAGTAGCCTCAGGACACCCAATAGAAGGGGGGGGGGGGCGTGTCGTAGAATCTGAATGTCTGAAACCCTCCCGGAGACCTTCAGCAAAGCCATGGCCATCATAATGGGGATGGTGGGAGTCCCACAGAGACTCGATATGAGAGAGAACAGAGAGAGGCTCACGGAAGAAATGTGAGAAGCCATTGGCAAGACCAAGAAAGAAGGCCAGGCAAAGTTCTCAGGAGTCAAGGGCTGCTGTGGAGGTCACAAAAATGACCAAAGGGTGGATTTGCAAGAGAAAGAGAAGCATTTCTAAGACCAAGAAGATTTTAGAAGGTTGAGGAGCAACCTTCAATAGACCCTGAATGGAGTTAGCAAAGTGGCTAATGGAGGTTTAGAGCAGTGTATTGGGTTTTTAAAAATACTTTCAAATATTGTATCTATTTGCGTGTAAGGTATGTGTGGCTCTCTGTTGGGGGGGTGTGCATTTGGAGGTCAGTGCTAACTTGCCACTTCTGAGATGAGGTTAGAGAGTAGAACAATGAGCATTCTCAGGCGATGGACTGTATCTCATATAGAATGTCAGCAGAAAGGGCTGGAGGGAGGAAATGGATGCCAATATATGAAACAGAACAAACTCTAGAATGGCTTTGGCTTGGGGCTGATGAACAGGGTGTCAGGAATGAGAGGCTAGAGAGGCTTTCTGACCTTAGTATCTAAAAGGCTCCATCTCAGCGGTCTTACTAGTAAATGCAGTGTGTCCATCCTTGAACATCTCCCGAGATCAGCCCCTGGTCGGCTCAGGAAGAAGTAAGGGCAGCCAGCAATAGCTGGGCGAAGCTGGGCGAAGCTGGGAACCAGGACAAAGTCAGCTTAGAAGCCATGCTGAAGACCGAACCTGGACCATATCCAGAGTGCTCAAGTGTGGCCTGTGGGCTTGAGCCAGATCTCCAAAAGGCTTTCCTTGGCCCGAGGAGAATTCCACATCTTATTTTTAAATCTAAGAAAGACATTCCCGCCGCAAGAGCTGTTCACAGAGCTGGAAGGAGCTGGCTGGAGTGCTAAGGCTGTCTTCACTGAGGGTGGGCATTTCCACTGTATTACAGTTGGCTGAAGCCTCTGCCATACCTCACAGCCAGAAAGAGGTGGGGTGGGGGCTCTTCCTCAGAACAGCAGGTGGGGGGTGCTGACTGCACCCTCTCTCTTTTCAGCTGCACCTGGTTGCCCTGAACACACCGGTGGCTGGGGACGTCAGAGCTGATTTCCAGTGCTTCCAGCAGGCCAGAGCAGCGGGACTGTGGTCTACCTTCCGAGCTTTCCTTTCATCCCACCTGCAGGACCTCTCCACAGTTGTGAGAAAAGCAGAGAGATTCGGCCTTCCGATTGTGAACCTCAAGGTAAAGATAAACCCTGTCACCACCACCCTCAGGCATACCAGTCCTCAAGTGACCCAAGCATTTGCCACTCCATGCCATCAACTATGGAAAGCCATACCTCTCCTCTTTTCAGATCACTCTCCTCTCAAAGATGGGGACTTCAGAAGGGAAATATGAACCCTGATGATCAAGCAAAATCCTACTTGTAGGCCAATGGCATACAAGTTCTAATGTGTTATTTGTCTTCATAGGGCCAAGTGCTCTTTAACAATTGGGACTCAATATTTTCTGGTGATGGAGGTCAGTTCAATACACACATTCCGATATACTCCTTCGATGGTCGAGACGTGATGACTGACCCTTCCTGGTAAGTGCAGGCTGCGTGATACGCATTTTTTAGGATGTGTTCTCACATCCTTTATCAGCTAGCCTCCTGGAACACTGCCAGTGAGAAGCCACAGTGAGGCAGCTGAGTCATGAGAAAGCCATGGCCTTGGAGCCAGAAGACCCAGGTCTAGTAGCTCCTAAGACCTGGGGGAAGCACTTCGCTCTATGAGCCTCGGCAGTCTTGCCTGTCAGATGAGAAGATGATCATTGGTACACCATAGGACAGTTGGGCATCTGACTGTGGGTGAAAATACGGTAGGCAGCGGACAGTGACGTGATTCCGGGTGACTCTGCAGCTTTGCCCTCTGAATGGCGCTCTTGGTCTTTGAATGCAGTACGTGTTGTTCAGAACACTCAGTGCCTGTGCTGCAGCACGTCTGATTCCAGGTCTGGAAGCTCAGTACTGTACCTGCACGGCCCCTACACTTTAAGGGCTCCCAGGGTTGAAGGGCAATAGATAACAGACTAAGTATAAATGTAGGCAATTTTGTAGTTTTAAGAGAGAAGGATGATAACAGGAACACAGAGGAGGCATTTGGTTTTGAGGATGAGAATCAAAAGTAGAGTCCTGTAAGAGGGAGCCCCTAAGAAATGAAGAAGTCACAAATCTGACCTTGAAAGAGGCTACTGAAGAAGTGGCCTCAGGAGCAATGGTCCAGATTCATGAAAACTAAGAATGCCATTGGGAGATGGCTGCCGATGAATATGGCCGGAAATAGAGTATGACTAGAAAGCTGGTAACAGCCATAAGGCTAAAGAAAGGATCTGACATTGGACTGTGGATTATGGATGAGGAGGAACACGTCTCAGTATACTACACGTGTGCCAATTCAATCACCAAAATATACCATACACAGTTACTATTTGAGAACTAGGGTGATGGCTCAGGAGGTAAAGGCTTGTTGCACAGGCATGAGAGCCTGGTTTGAGTTCAGATCCCCATCATTCATCTAATAGCCAGGTAAAGCAGCATGCTTCTGTAACTCCAGCCCTGGTAGATCCTTGGGTTTTGGTGGCTATCAAATCTAACTAACTTGGCAAGTTCTAGGTTCAATGCCTCAAAAAACAAGGTGGGGAATGATTGATGAAGATACCCAGTGTTGACCTCTGACCACACACACACACACTCACAACTATAAAATAAAATAAAAAGAAAGTAAGAATTTCACGTTATTAAAAATGCCGTTCAAAAAGTAACACTATAAAATTCCCTTCTAGGCCCCAGAAGGTCGTTTGGCATGGCTCCAATCCCCATGGTGTCCGTCTTGTGGATAAGTACTGTGAAGCCTGGCGAACCACAGACATGGCAGTCACAGGATTTGCCTCCCCACTGAGCACTGGGAAGATTCTGGACCAGAAAGCTTATAGCTGTGTGAATAGGCTAATCGTTCTGTGTATTGAAAACAGTTTCATGACAGACACTAGGAAGTAATACCCTTCCCATGATTTTTAAAGAGGTTTCTAATTTTTCTTATGTGAAGAGTTGACACTGAAGTCTAAAATGTTGTAAATATTACAGTTTTTTTTTTTAATATTACACATTTGTCAAAAAAGAAACCAAAGAGAACATACCTCAATATACTCAAAAGGAAAGACATAAGGGACTCAGATCCAAGTCAAATCCAATCCACATATTGGTGCTAGATTCTGCAGGAAGCCCCCTCAGTGTGAACAAACCCTGCCACAGAGTAGGGCAATCGGCAAACAGAGGTCGGCGTGATTGCCCAGTGCATTCTTCAGAAAGCAATTTCTTCTTTCCAACCATGGCTAGTAAGTGTAAGATGTCCTTCGTGTTTGCTTACAAGGTCAGCTTTGGACACATGGCCCCTTCCTAAGTTATGTGTGAGCTGAGTGATTCCATGCACATCCATTCACCCACAACCGCTCAAAAGACCATGCTTGTATTTTCTCCTGCTATCAGGCTTTAATATGGTTCCCCCCAAAAATATGATTGCTGCCATGCTATGGAGGGATGCATGTTTACCCAATCACAGCTGAGTATGGCATCTGTTTATGCAATTCTGACTTGCTGGAAAGTTAAAACTCTCGGAAAGAAACAGCACATAATCATTGCCTTCCCCTCGCTAGTTCCCCTTCCCATTCCCCACCCCAATTTTGTGATTTCCATTTAGCAAGTCTTGAATTACTGCAGCTGAAACAGACTCATTGAGATGAATTTTCTGAAAAATCTATATCACTGTGCTATAGACTCTGATATCTTCTTCCGTGTAAGAACATAAAGATATCTTTTCCAGGTGCTTCTTCTGTTTGACTTCTTTTTCTCCCTGGGTCCCTCATTCTTTGCCACCAAGGCAGAAGCAGCCTGGGTGCCTGTGCTAATTTGTCATCAGCACTGGGGACGATTCATTCAAGAATTAAGGAGGGGTGGGGGTGATGTGGAGCTGACGAGTCTGGGTGGGAGACGAGGTGTGCTGTGGTTGACAGTGTCACAGCGCAGACTGCGGGCTCTTCTGTCTCTCAAGGAGAAGGCGATAGACACACACAGTCTCAGCTTCACTTGGTAAATGTTAATCATTAGGAAGTGATGTCCCCCAGCTCTGCAAAGTGTATTTTTTTTAAACCTCCACTTTAAAAATAAAGAAAAAGAAAGAAAGAAAGAAAGAAAGAAAGAAAGAAAGAGAAAGAAGGAAAGAAAAGAAAGGAAGGAAGGAAGGAGAGAGAGAGAGAAAGAAAGAAAGAAAGAAAGAAAGAAAGAAAGAAAGAAAGAAAGGAAGAAAGAAAGAAAAAGAAAAAGAGGAGGCTCAGGTCCTTCCTGGGTCCAGTCACGTGTCTGGCATATGCAGGGCTGGCTTCAGACTCAGGCTCTTTCTCACTTCAGTGCCTAAGGTCTTTCTGAGGCACCACTGGATATGGCTGCCTGTTGGTTCCCTCTCCACCCCAAATGCATGACTCTGAAAACATAATTAGTAGGCAAGAAGCATGCTGCGATAGTTCCTCTCATTCAGTGGGCTGGCCCAGAAAGCCATCACAGTGACTGCATCCTCCTAAGCCCCTGAAGCAGAAAGGAAATGAAGAACAACCAAAATAAAACAAAACTAACAGCCCAGAGCCTCCACTTCAGAATTCACGGCAGGAAGAGCAGTTAGAATCTTTCTAATGAGTCATGAACTGAAAACAGGAAAGCCCCAGGGGGGCGTGGTTGAGGATGGACACAGAGCAGAGTGCGAGGGGGGGGGGGGGGGGTGCTCGACACAGACAGCAGTGGCAGGAGAAAGAGGACAAGAGGATCCTGAGTCAGGAAGTATAGATGCCATCCACTTCAGTCAGAGCCCACAAGACCCAAGACCACAGAAAGCACAAGGTGGAAGAGAGCTGAGAAGAGAAGCCAGGAAGAGAGACACCCACTTCTCCTGATGCTAGGAGAGGACGTTGAGGCTTGTCTCCTCTGCATGCATTGGAGGAGGACACGTGTCCCCCTAGGATGGAGTCCCAGGGTCAACTGCAGCCCCATACACTCTGACCAACCATCACAATCCTGGGCCTGGCATTCAAGATTCTTCGCTGAACGTCTACCTCCACCCCCTCTTTCCTGTCGCATGCCAAAGTCCACTCACCTGTCCAGTCTTCCTCCTAGTCTCTTAGGCAAGCTGCATAGGCTCTTCTGATGGGCCATGTTGTTGTCATGGCCTGCGCCATCTTAGCAAAGCCTTAACCATTAAGTGTTCTTTCCCTTCCCTTCCTACAATGGCACTGGTGACCTCCCTAGACTTGCCAACCTGGTGTCGTACCCCTCCTACCCCGCCTGGTGTGCTTCACATCTGAAATTTGTCATTCATTTGGCTAAAAACATAATGACTGAAGGGTCTCCAAACCTTTTCTACTCATTTGCCTTGAAGTCTTGGAGATACTAGAAGGCTGTTAAGCCAACTCTCATACTCAAGCCAAATGCAGAAAGGAACATTTGGTGTATATGGGGTACTCTAGGTCCCTACCAAAGACCTCCAGGTCTGAAGCCTGTGGCTCCAGACTTGCAGAATCTTCCATCCAGCAATAGAACAAGAGGCAAGAAAAAGTCTGCCCACCCGTGGGGTCCAGCCAGCACCACGAAGGCCTGGAGAACCTGATATGGCTACATTGTGTGGCCTGAAACAGACCCGGTGAGATGAGGAGACTGGGTCACAGGAAGCACCCTCAGGTTTCCCAGTATCCTCTGGATCCTGTCGGTGGTTGAGTGCTGTGTCACTTGATTCTGAAAGGGATACAAGCAGAATGGTGGAAGCTGTCAGCAGCCTAGTGGAGCTGAGTACTAGTCAGGGTTTGTGATAAAAAGAAAATAAAAAGAAGAATGAGTTGGTTCATGAGACCAAGAAGTGGGACAGAGAATGCAGACCAAATGTGGCAATGCCGCCCTGGGGTTGGGGTTATCATCGCATCTGGCTGCCTGGCTCACTTCTGCTTTCTTCTTCCTTCCAACCAAAGACGAGCTGCCTTCATGGGACAGGGGTGATTGCAGACAGCTTCAGGCCTGTGTTGTCCCTATTCACCAAGAGCGCAGCCACAGAGAAAAGAGGCTTCCTCTCCCTCTGAGTTACATCAGTTCCTAAAAATGACCGCTACTGGCCTTCCTTAGGTGTCCAGGGCTGTGACAGGCAGTCTCACCAGAGATGGTAAGTGCAGAAAACAAAACTTTCCTCATCCAAAACTCCTAAGGTTTTGGCAATGACGAGAACATTGAGAAGAACCAAACACAGATTCTTCATGCCCAGCAAGAGGGGTGGAATGGTGTGGGTATGGAATGACAGGCAGGTCACACCAGCCTTGAGTTCTATGCTGAAGCATCTAAACTTCATCATGAATTCATCATGAATTCATGAATGGGCAAGGCACACCCAGAAGATCTGAAGACAGAAGAGATGGGATTGGCTCTGTGTTTGTTAATTTGCACGTCTGCTCAGAAATATCTGGGATAATTATTTTCAACTCATGATCATGTTTCAATATAGAGGCACAAACAAAAATGATGGCTCTATTTTTCTTTTTTTAAATTTTTTTATTATTATCATTTATTACAATTTATTCAATTTGTATGCCGGCTGTGGTCCCCTCCCTTGTCTCCTTCCAAACCCATCCTCCCTCCCTCTTCTTCCCCTATGCCCCTGGTTCACTGATAGGGGAGGTCTTTCTCCCCTTCCATCTGATCCTAGCCTATCAGGTCTCGTCAGAACTGGTTGTATTGTCTTCCTCTGTGGCCTGGCAAGGCTGTACAGAGCCAGGGTGATGGCTCTATTTTTCAAGTCCACTAACCCCTTCCATTTTTTTTTTAAAGATTTTAAATTTAAAATATAATGCTCTTTTTCTTTCCTCCAACTCCTCTCATGCTCCCTCCTCAAATTCCTGGCCTCCTTCTCTTTAATTGTTGTTGTATGCCTAAATATATAAACACAACTTGACTGATCCATTTCTAATGTCACAGACTGTTCTGAGTTCCATGTGCATCTCTCAGTTCTCAGGAACCCTCCAGCCGGGACAAGTGTGTTGCCCATGTCTTCCTTAACCTTGCAGCTAGAGAGACTTTCCCCGTGACTCCTGAGTGCCTCAGTCACCAGGGAAGCACTGAGCCTCTTCAGAGCCCTTTAATAGCCAGTGACTGTTTCCCCCCTCTTGACTTCCATCTTGTCCTCTAACTCACATGGCAGTTGACTGATGAGAGGCCTTTGCCTGGGTCTGAATTCTGGCTCTGCTATTTGCTGCCCATGTCATCACTGGCAAGTTCTTCAAGTTACTGAACACAATCCCTGTACTTAATCCTTCCCTGCAACCCAGTGTTTTCCTTTGACAAACTGGGAGGCACACAAAGTACCCTTCATTGGATGAGCTTACTGGTAGTGCTGGGAGTGAAGTTGTAGCCCAAGCAAACACTTGGTCAGTGCTCCTGCCATTCTTGGCCTGCCCAGGTGTTTCCAAGAGGGGCTGAGCTTTCTTCCCCAGGCTGTGCTAGATGGTATCTACCATCGCTTTTCTGCCCAACTTCAAGCCCAGGACTGATTTACCATGTCCTCACTGGTACAACCCAGTCTGCTATTGGTGAGAGCACCTTGTGTGCCTTACCCCAAATACTCCTGTTGCCCTGCTCGTTATGCCTTTTCCCACTAGCCAGCAACTAAAATGCTTTCATCATCTCACTTAGTAGGGGATCCAGAATTCAGTCCTGATACTAGGGCTAGATCTCTTCAGGTCAGCAGGGATACATGTCACACTGTGAGGGAGACTTCCTGTCTCCTGCACAAGCTTGCCCAGTGCCCTGAGTTCTAAGAAGAATCCAGAATTCTGGTACAAAGAAGCTTCCCATTTTGTTCTCCTGCTAGAATTGTTTGCCCTCTCAGTGGATGACACCACCATCTAACCGGGGCCTGAAAGTCATTTCTTTACTCACTCATTCAACAAATATTTGCAATATTTTCACTTGTTGCAAAGAAATCATAGAGACATGCGATGTGATAACAGTGTGACATTTTAGTGCATGCGTAAGGGTCAGATCAGGATGATTGACTTTCACATCTCCTCAGATAGTTATCATCTCTTTGTGTTGTAAACACTCAAAATTGTCTTTACTAGCTATTTTGTTCAGCACATATTGATTGAGTGTCCCTTTAGTAGTCATAACGTCAGGAAACACTGAGCGCTTGGAACTTCAATGTTACAGGTTGAATCCAAAATGTTCCCCACAGGCTCAAGATCTGAATGCTTGGTCGCCAGCCTATGGCACTATGTTGAAGGTAATGGAACCTTTAGTAATGAGGCCTGGCTGGCAGAGGTAGGTCACTGGAGGATTGGTCTTTGAAGGTTATGTCTGCCCATGACCCATGCGAACAGCCTCTGCCTCATGCCACAGATGGAGCATTTCTAACCACCATGCTTCCCCACCACAATGGACTGAAACCTCTCGGAGAGCGTGAGCAAAAATAAGCCTTCTTTTTTTGGGGGTGAGGGAGGGAAGGGAAGGCAGGTGCCATGTTTCAGCAGCAAGAAAGGGGACAAGTAGATCAAACAAAGTCTAGCTTCTTAAATGATAGTCACTTTGATTTTTTAAATTGTTTATTTAAGTTTTACTTCTCTCTCTGTGTGTGTTTATCTTTCTGTGTATGGGCATGTGTATGCAAACACCCATGGAGGCCAGAAGAGTGTTGGATCCCCTGGAGCTAGAGTTACAGGAAGTTCTGAGCTTCCCAAGGCGGGCGTGCCAATGTGGGATCTAAATTGTAGTCCTCTGCAAAAGCAGCAAGCATCCTTAAGCCTG